ACTAATAATAAGTGTTGCCTTTAATTTAATCAATAAAATAAATTGACTTCATTAATTTTTTTGAACCACCTCTTAAGAAAATCTAAAAAATATGAATGGAATGATAAATCACAAGTACAAACTCATCATATTTTTTGCATTTTAGATAGGATTTATTCAGCAAAATTTTGTGGTGACGTCATAAATTTTTTAGGGGGGACGACCAAATACATTTTGATCAAAAATTTACCATGCTTATGATAATTTTAAAATATCTTCAAGATTTCGAAGCATTCGGTTTTGTAGTTCCTGAGTAAATCAGTAAAATAAATTTACGCTTTCATTCATTTTCTTGAATCACCCTGTATATGCAAATCCAAAAAATATGAATGGAGTGATAGATCACAAGTACAGACTGATCATATTTTGTACATTTTAGATATGATTTATTCGGCAAATTTTCGAGCTGACGTCATCAAGTTTTTGGAGGGGATAAGCAAATATATTTTTACTAAACATTTATTATGCTCTTTATAACCTTAAAACATCTGCAAGATGTCAGAGCATTCCGTTTTGTAGTTCCTGATTAAATCAATAAAATATATTTACGCATTCATTAATTTTTTTGAGTCACTCTGTATATGCAAATCCAAAAAATATGAATGGAGTGATAAATTACAAGTACAGACTCATCATATTTTTACAGTTTAGATAGGATTTATTCGGCAAACTTTCGAGCTGACGTCATCAATTTTTTGGAGGGGATAAGCAAATATATTTTGACTAAACATTTATTATGCTCTTTATAACCTTAAAACATCTGCAAAATTTCAAAGCATTCGGTTTTGTAGTTTCTGAGTAAATCAGTAAAATAAATTTACGCATTCATTAATTTTTTTGGGTCACCCTGTATATGCAAATCGAAAAAATATGAACGGAGTGATAGATCACAAGTACAGAGTCATCATATTTTGTACATTTTAGATATGATTTATTCGGCAAATTTTCGAGCTGACGTCATCAAGTTTTTGGAGGGGATAAGCAAATATACTTTGACTAAACATTTATTATGCTCTTTATAACCTTAAAATATCTGCAAGATGTCAGAGCATTCCGTTTTGTAGTTCCTGATTAAATCAATAAAATATATTTACACATTCATTAACTTTTTTGAGTCACCCTGTATATGCAAATCCAAAAAATATGAATGGAGTGATAGATCACAAGTACAGACTCATCATATTTTGTACATTTTAGATATGATTTACTCCACAAACTTTTGAGCTGACGTCATCAAGTTTTTGGAGGGGATAAGCAAATATTTTTTGACCAAAGATTTATGATGCTCTTTATAGCCTTAAAACATCTGCAACATTTCAAAGCATTCTGGTTAGCAGATTAAAAATTAAATTTCAAAATGTTGTTTTATAATTTTGATTTTTTTTCCAAAAATCTGGACGTTTCGGGTGAAAAGTCGATTCAGAGTTGTAAACTACATGTGTAGGACTATGTTATTTTATACAAATGAAAACCCATTTACTATGTACAATTTTGAAGTGACGTCATCGCATTAGTGGTGGGGATGATTAGACAAATTTTGGTTAGCGTTTTACCATCTACATGATATTCTTAATATAAGTACAAAATTTCACGACAATCGGTCGAGTACTTTCGGAGATTATCTGTCTAATAAAAATCCGGGACGGCAGACGGACAGACGGACAGACGGACGGACAGACGGACGGACAGACGGACGGACAGACGGACGGACAGACGGACAGACAGACGGAAATGGGAGACCTATTTCTTCGTCTTCTAGGGGTCATGAAAGATCGAGAAAACGTAAAAGTAGAGAGTCGGCCGACGGACTCGATTACAATACTTCCTTTGCTTACGCTCGGGAAGTAAAAATATAAAAGGATTCACATTAAACTATGAAACGTCCAAAAAGATTAACTCCGATATTATAAATAATATTTTAGAAAACAAAGACAAAACAATCAGTACCTACACAATACATATAATCGAATTACCAGAGCCACTAAAACTAAAGAACTTTTAAATAAAATAGAAACAAAAGAATTTGGTTTTGTTTATGACAAGCGAGTTATTACAGAAAACTTTGATACAATACCATTTGGCAATTAATCCTTTTCATTGTTAATTAATATTGATTTAATGAATAATTTATTGTACCTCTTATGTGAAGCGAAGCATTGTAGACCGAACGCAAATTAGAACCTGAGACGGGCAGCGTCGAGGGCTCTAAGCGCAAGGTCTAGAAGTGGTTTCACAACCGTGATTAATATAAGATTTTTTCTTTACAGGCTAGTTTCCTTTTAAACTTTCCGTGTTCACATTCCGTGAACTTATTGGAAAACGATACGTGAAAAGCTCTTATCAATATCTTCGGCCAGAACTGCCTTCTGCACAAAAATGTGATAATTGTCGACGTAAAATCATTAACGTCCACCACAAACTATGTGGATACGAACTACTTTGTACACATAAGTTTGAACCTGAGGACAAAACGATAAACGGAATGGAGGGAGAAATATTAGGACGCGAGAAACTTATACACCACATAGTCCAATCCCAAAAAGATGAACTGAAAATGAATATTAAGGAATATATGGTGGAATTTTAAAGTGAAAATACGTTTAGAATTTGCATTTATCTTGATTGTAAATGCCAAGCACCAACTTTTTGTTTACTTGACAAAATGAAATTCATGGCTATTGGGTAAAGATAATTTAAAAAAAAAATCTATTGTATGTTCTGGCGAGTAATGAATCGTTCGTGTTAACAACGGTTTGTGTGCTGCCCTGTTAATTTATTTATGGAGCAGTTTTTAAGTTGTAAGTAAGTATTTCTAGTATAATTAAATTAACTATGATGATATATTGTAAAATTACCTAAAAATTAAAAAACTTAAAAAAAATAATTGAAACAATGTACATATTGCAAATACAATTTTTTGTACACAATTACTTTTTATTAATTTCATCTTAAATGTCTTCATTAAGAAGTTGAAGTTCTAATAGAAGAACATCCACGTGGACTAGTAGGAACGTGAATATAAATCTTGTCAAGATAATACTATATATGTATCTCTTCATAATAAATAATTTTATTTTTTTCTTATTGACATCTGTTTCTTTTCTCTTTAAACTCTAAATCGAAAAGGACTTGCTTTTTAAATATACTTTTAAAATCGGATCCAGGGTAAAAAGTGTCACTTGTATACGCAAATTCAAAAAATATTAATGGAACGATAAATCACAAGTACAGACTCATCATATTTTGGACATTTTAGACAGGATTTATTCGGCAAACTTTTGAGCTGACATCAATTTTGTGGAGGTTATAAGTAAATATATTTGGACTAAAAATGTATCATCCTTATCATAACTGTAAACCGTCTGCAAGATTTCAAAGTATTCGGTTTTCTAGATTCTAAATTAAATTGCAAAATGTTTCATAATTTTGATTTTTTCCCAAAAATCTGGACGTTTCGGATAAAAACTCAATTCGGAGTCATGAACTACATGTGTAGGACTGTGTTTTTTATACAATTAAGACCCATTTACTATGTCCAATTTTGAAGTGACGTTATCACAATTTGGTGGGGATGATTAGACAATTTTTGGTTAGGGTTTTACCATCTGCATGATATTCCTAATATAAATACAAAATTTGACAACAATCAGTATACATGAACTGTTTAATTTATTATTATTATTATTAAGGAATCGATCGGGCAGAGGCTATGCCTGTTATGCCCGCGACAAAGTGAGTAGTGGCTTTATCTTCAGTATAACTTAGAGATTTTTTGTCGCACAATATGTATCATATTTTGATTTAAAACTTACAATAGATGAAGCTAGCACTATATCCTTGGGTAACACGTTCCAACTGTCAAACACCCTATTTGTTAAAAATTTTTGGCGAGCTAAATTGCAAAACTTCAACTTACGCAACTTTAGAGGATTGAGAGGGAACAGATGCCTCACTGGGGAAAAACTATCACCCAAGGCCTGATAAGTAATGATTAGATCCCCTCGTTTGCGCCTGTCTGAAAGAGGGCAGAGATGCATTAGTCTAAGCCGTTTGCAGTAAGGAGGCGGATTTATGCCGAATGAAAATCTGGTTGCTCGACGGTGAATGGATTCCAAGCACAAAATAATGTCTTTTTGAAGTATGGGAGACCAGACACCATTAGCAAACTCTAGCTTTGGAAAATATTTTCCTCAGAAGAAAGAGCATTTTATTTGCTTTCCTCGCAACTCGCTGGACAGTCTAGTTCACTCTGACAAAGAGCACAAAAGATTAGATTGGACAGATTTCCCAGGTAAGAAGCCATGCTGTGCAGGTGGAATTAGATTGTAATTTATAAGAAACTTGACTAAATGGTCATAGATAATGGATTCCATGACCTTGACCACGAGCGATGTCAAACTCACTGGCCTATAGTTTGATGCATCAAACTTATCACCCTTGTTCTTGTAAATTGGTTTGACAAACGCGGTTTTCCAGTTGGAGGGAAGTCTAGATTGCATGAATGATGGCGCCATTAGAATAGAAAGCGGAGTGGAAAGAGAGGGTGCACAGTCCTTTAAAACGCAGGCGGAAAAAAGATCACGACCTGGGGATTAAGTAATTTTCAACTTTCTGAGCTTATCTGACACCGCGTCCGTAGATCAGCGATACTATTCGAATGACAAACGCTAGATAAATTAGGCATCCCAGAAAGAGATTCCACAGTAAACACTTTGGCAAAGGAATCGGCAAATATATCAGCAACGGTGTAACTGTTATCATTAACCGTGTCTGTCGTATCTTTAACCTTAACTGTTTTAACTGGACCTGATAATGTAGTGCGAATATACTTAAAAAGAGTTTTGGTGTCCTTATTCTCTGCAATACGCTTCTCATAATCAAGTCTAGACTCTCTGATGACAGTCGAAAGATGGTTAGAAAAAATTAATTTTTAATTATTATTTAAATTATTTTAAAGAAACTTCAACTTCAATTAGCTTTATTGTTGACTTAAAACAACATTTACAAAAATTACACTTATTATTACAAAATGCAAAAGAGGTATTACCCAACTTTTTTTATCATTTAACAGCACTGGAATATTGGAAACGTCGGAGAGGAAATTAAACACGAATAAGGCAACTTTACACTTCTAGCCACTAAGTTAAGTCTGCTGCCTATTAATAACAGAATAACCATCTCTATCCCGTTCCACTTTATAATAATGCGTCGTCCCTTGAGCTCTAGTCAACGCATTCAAAAACTCTTCATCGTGCGTGATCACAATCAACTGGAATGTCTTCTCCTGATGCCTATTATTGATAATCCTAGCCAGCGTGTCGCTCAAACTAAAAACATTCGCCCTATCTAAATTCGTCGTGGGCTCATCTAGAGCCAAAATGCCACAATTCGAACTGAGCGTCTCTGCCAGCGCCATCCGAATCAATAGACAAGCCAAGACTTTCTGTCCAGCGCTGCAGCGACCCCTCATATCCAGCTCAATCCCCTTCTTTATCTGAACAACTTTGTAGTTATAGGTGCGTTTCGTCGAAGTTCCGGCTGCATACTCAGTTTTGATTTCTATGTGGTCGATGTCGTTGCCCCTGTACGTGTTTCGCCAGAAGTGTCTGATCGTGCGGTTGATTTGGACCATTTTCGACTTGTGGAACTCCAGGACTGCTTTTTCTAGCGCTACGATGTACTTCTCCAGGTCTTTGATGACACTCTTTCTGATTTCGAGTCGGTATAGCTGCTCCCTGTATTTCGCGTAGGCGTTTTTGTTGTCGGGGAGAGCCAACTCTCTGCGTAGTTCGTCGATTGAGTTTTGTAATTCGTTCTTTTGGCCTTTCATGTTGTTGATTTGTTTGTCCAAGTTTTCGCGGGTTCTTTCTAGGCGGACTTTTTCTTCGTAGACGGTCCGGTAGTTGTAGCCGCCGATTCGGATCTTCAGGGCTCTAACTTCGGTCTCTAGTTTTTCTTCTGATGCTTTTTTTTCGCGGAGGACGACGTTGCTTTGTAGAGTGCGAAAGCGGAGTTCTTCCTTGGCTAGATTCTCTCTCTTTTCGGAAATCGTTTCAAGAATTTTGGTTTTGGTGACTTCGAGAGCGGTTTCTTTGTTTTTGTACTCTTTTAATTTCTCTTCGATTGTGGTGAGCTTATCGGTGATTCCCTTCTTCAAGTAGTCGTCTATTTCGGTTTGAAGTTTATCTATCCCGGTAAGCAGTCTGCGATAATTTATTACTTTTTGTCTTTGTTCGTCGACTTCTTGTTTATCCCTCTGTGTGGTGGTATTCTTGTTTTCTATCGCGTTCTGTAGATCTATTTCTTCGGCATTCAACTGGGTCGACAACTGGGTGATTTCTTCCTGCAATGACCCTACTTTATCTGTCAGTTCGGCCTGCTGTGTTTCCAAAAGTGGCCTATTTTGAATGCCATCCCTCAGTTTGAGTTGCTTCTCAACCACTTCCTTTCTCTCTTGCATCAAGTTCTGTATTCTATCTTTATGCTTGTTAATGTTTTTGGTGATGGTTTCCACTTTTCCCCTCGACTCGCTCACTTCGAATTTAATATGATCAATCTCCGCTGCAACTTCTTCCTTCGATTTTTTAGAAGCGACTTCAACCAAGCTTTGCTTCAAATTATCGACGGTCCGCTGTGACTTTTCAACATCCGAGATACTTTGATCCAACGAACCCACATCCGAGATGACCCTCCCACACAGCTCAAGAATCTTCTGGGGCTCAGTCAATCTCGTCTTCAACTGATTCAACTCGCTTGTAGTCGCACTCAACTTATCTTCAATGTCGCTCAAAATTTGCTTCAACTGAGGCAACTTTTCCTTCTCGAGTACTTCCGTTTCTTCATTCACCAACTTCAACTGTTGGAGCTTGCTGTATAGAGCCTCCTCTTTCTCTAACTCGCTTTCAACTCGCGTCAGCTGTTGAGGAACTCGTTCCACTTTACTTTTCAACGTGGATATGATCTTCTGTACCACGGTACTTTTATTGCTGAAATCTGTTTCACACACGGGACAACATGGAGCTTGTTCTTCGAATTTTTTAATAAACTGACCATAGATGATTCGAACTGATCTATACTGTCCTTTGTCGATTTGAAGACGCTCTTTTTTCTGGAAGGTACTGTTGAAGGTCTCCTCAAAATCGCGGCCGCTGCAAGCCTCTGAAATTTTAGCCCGGTTGGTCTTTAGTTCCTTTTCATAATCGGCGATTCTTCCCGACTGGTTGTTGCGTTGGACTTCCAAAGTGGTCACTTCTTTCTGTTTGATGTTGATGTCGTTGGTTAAGGTTTTGAATAAAGTGTCAGCGGTTTTTTGTTTGGTTACGACGGAGTCTTTGAGGTTCCTCTCTGGAACCGTTCCTTCAAACAGCTGTCTAAAATTATCAGAATGTTTCGACTTGATTCTATTAATTTCCTTTTGTTTTTCGATTATTAGATGTTTCTCGCTTTCCATTTTTCCTTCGATGACGTCGTTTTGTTGCAGGGTTTTATGTTCACTGTCTAGAGACTCCAGCTGGCGTTCCATTCCCTGTATGTCCGCTTTGTAGGTGTCTATTTTTTTACTTTCTTCTGCTTCTTTGAATGTAGAGTTCAAGCTATGTACAGTTTTATCAATGCTTTCTATACGCTTCTTCATATCTTCCATTAAGGAGTCTGAGGTTGTTAAAGCTATTAATTCTCCGGTTATGTCAATAACTTTCTTCTCACACTGTTGCACTTCTCCTTCTTTAGACAACTTTTTCTGCTTGGTGGCTACCGTTTTCTCCCTCACTTTATCAATCTTGTTCTGTAAGTTCTTCTGTACTTCGTCTTTCTCGTCAATCAAACTTGCCAAGCAAATCTCCTGGTTCTCCAATTCCGCGTTCAACTCAGACAGCGCAGCTCTTGCTCCATCGTTGTCTTGAAACTCCTTCAGATCTTTAACTTTCATCTCATTTCTTGCTTCCTTTATCAAATTCGTTCTTTGAACACATTTCTGCTCATATTGATTCTTCTGTTCTTTCAATATACCCAACTCAGTTTGAGCCTCCTGAGTGGCATTCGCAATAACTTTATTCTTACTTTCGATCTCGCTCTTCCTTGTTTCTAAATTCGAAATTAGACTCTCCTCCTTTTGCCTATCGTTCTCAAAAGTATTGATTTTGTTCCTCAAATCCTCATCGCTACCCTCAAATTCGAAAGCCAGTCCCTTCTTGATAGTCTTCTGCTCTTCCACTATCCCGTTCTTCATCGTCTCTTTCGTCGCAAGCTCCGTCTGCAACTGAGACAAAGTCCCCTCCAGCTCGAGAATCTCGTTCATTCGGTTCCTAACACCACTCAATTCTTCATCTTTAGTTTCTATATCGCTTGCTAACCCCTCTAACTTAGTTTCCTTATCTTGCAGCGTCTGCGTCTTCGCATTCACGTAATCTTTCTTCTCCTTCCTGTTCTTCAGTTCGTTTTCCAAAAACTTGACTTCTAAATGTTTCGTCTTGCAATGTTTGCGGAACAGTTCCGTGCACTTGTTGTACTTCTGGGCGTCGAAAATCTCGTCGAACTTCTCCTTGAGTTTCTTTCCTTCGTCCAAAGGCCACAGCGAGTTCTCCTGGTGGCAGAAGATCACGTTGTTGAGAACGGCGGGGGTTACGTTCATGAGTTGGCAGCACTCGGTGGTGATGTCAGCGCAGCGGCCGGAGATGCTCGAAGTGTTGCCGGTGGGGGTCAGTCTTCTCAGTGTGGAGTCTTTGGTGGAGAATTTCATCTGTTTCTCGGTTTGGCTCACTTCCACTACTCTGGCGATGGTGATTTCGTTGTTGCGGGGGTCTAGGAACTGTAGTTTGATGTTGCCTTTTGTGGAGGAGGTTCTGGAGATTTTGGGGTCGTGGACGAAACCTTGGCCGCTGTTGGTTCCGCCGGGGAGCTCGGCGGAGCAGGCGTATTTCAGGGACTCGATTATGGTGGTTTTGCCGCAGCCATTCTGACCTAGGATGAGGGTGACGGGAGTGCCGAATTTTATTTGCTGGGAGTGTTCTTCGTAGGGGCCGAAGCTGCGGATGCCCGAGATTTGGAGTCGTGTTAGGGTCGCCATTGTCTGGAAAAGAGTAAAAGAAAATGTGTAAGATTGATTTCTTCTAAAATCGTGATCAGATAGATAATAAAACACATGGATTCGGGAAATACTCATTTTATTAATATGTTAAACATTTTTAACCAACCAAATCCCAGTATTTTTTATTTCATCCAATCACGTTTCTTTTCAGTACAATTTATTAAGTAGAAATTTCCGTAGCAACTTCAAATTCTTTTCAACGATATTTTTCAAAATGTGATTTCGGAAATTGGACATTTTAGAAATATTCATATATTAAATTTTAATCGATAAACTACTGCGACAAAAAAGTGGGTTATGCTAGCTCATTAAAAATAATAATAATAAAAAAAAAATTGGTAACACTCTTCTACTACCTACCAAGAGCTGCTAGGGATGGGCACTTTTTTGTTATAATAATTACTTAACCTTTCACTACCCTTTTTACTGTATTTCGCTCCAAATATTGCCAACTGTACAAATTACCACAACCAACACAGCAACAGGTGGCCCGTTACATAGCAACGACCAATACAAACAAATCGACACTGTTTACTTGTCATCCAACCATGTCAATTTCGCAGGTATTTCAACTATTTACTTTTTAATCAAAATAAAACAACCTTCTCTAGGAAGAAATCCGCGAATTCAACTCCCCCGCAAGATCAAGCACCACCAAACCAACCAAAAAAGGCAACAAAATCAACCACTCCCCGCTCAACCACCCCAGCAAAAAGAGCGACGTTTTCGAATTATTCACAATAAAAACCCCAATTAAGCACCACAAAACCAAAACTGCGCTTTCAGACAGCCAAGACACCTCCGAGCTCTCCGACGATGTCTTTGTCAAGCCCAAACCCGTCTCCCTGTCCACCCCCAGCAGATCCGACACGAAGTCCTACCGAGACAGGATCAACGAACGGTTCAAAAACGTGAAAGAAAAAGCAGGAAAATCGACGAAGAAAGCGAACGTGTTCAAGGAAGCAGCCGAGAAGATTCTCTTGGAAAAGGTGAAAAGGGAAAGCAGCGACATCGACGCGGAGTTGGAGCTGATGCGGGATCGCTTGAAGCTGGGAAAAGCGCCCGAGAATAGCGACGTGTACGAGTTTTTTTGTCGCGAGAAGTGTCACGAAGCGAGTGAGGAGGAGAAGGAAGAGAATTTTAAGTCTACGGATGATTTGACGGACGGGAGGGTTGGTGTTGAGTTCGAGTTTCCCAGGCAGTGTAGAGGGGTTGTGAGGAGTTCGGAGGATGCTATTTTGTTTAAAGCGAAAGCGTGAGTAGTATTATAGTAATAAAATAAATTACCTAAGAAAATTATGTTGGTAGTAGCGATTTTTTCGTATGGTAAATTTTAGGCGACCTGTAGACATTATTGATAAAATCGACTCGGAAGAACCTCGTTTTTTGGAAGATGAAGGCCTCTACGTTACTCCTAAGCCCAAACTACCCATTCAACATGTCCATATTTTGGAACAGCGGCTTTCACGTGACCACAAGTAAGTGTGCTACTTCTAACTTTTTTTAAAATCTTACAATTCGTCAAAATAAAATTACAATTTTCATCTCATAGTAACTAAAATAAGTCAACGGGTTACTTTTACCTTTTTACTTCCTGAGCATAAGCTAAGGAAGTATTGTAATCGAGTCCATTGGACGATTGGTTACTTTTATGTTGTCACGACGTTTTATGACCTCCAGAGTACGCAAAAACAGGTCCCCGTTTCCGTCTGTCCGAATTTTTATTAGATAGAACTACTGGACCGATTGTTGTCAAATTTTATATGTGTATTAGGAATATCGTGTATATGGTAAAACGTTAACCAAAATTTGTATAAACGTCCCCACCAACAATAGGATACGTCAACTCCAAAATTTAGTAAATATTATTTCAATTTTTTAAAGTAAGAATCCTTTCACATGTGTGTTTTAATGAATTCGTGTTCAGTTTTTGGGGAAAAAAAAATCAAAATTGTAGATTTGCAATTTTGCAATTTAACTTTGAAACTGCAAAACCGAATCAAAATTTTTTTGTTTATGTCCCTCCAAAAAGTGGTGGGACATTTTTACAATTTAACAAAATGCAAAACCAAATGCTCTGCAATCTTGCAAACGTTTTAAGGTTACCAGAAGCATGATATATCGTTAAACAAAATCTATTCGTTTATGCTCCCCTTCCCTAAAGTGATGACGTCAACTTATAATTCTGCCGAATAAATAATATTCTTTAAATTTTATAATATAACATGCTCCTGTGTGTGTGATTTATGATAAATTCTCAGAACATCAAAATCCTCAAATCCTCAAAACGCCATAACACTCAAATCCTCAAAAGAACATAATTCTCAAATCCTGAGAACATCAAAATCCTGAAAATACCATAACACTCAAATCCTCAGAACAATCTAATTCTCAGAACATTATAATCCTCAAATCCCCAGAACACTATAATCCCAAATTCTTAGAACGCCATAATCATCAAATTCTCAGAACATCGTAATCCTCAAATCCTCAAAACAACATAATCCTTCAATCCTCAAATGATGATCCTCAGATCCTCAGAACACCATAATCCTCAAATTCTCAAAACATCATAATTCCAAGTTCTCAGAACACCATAATCCTCAATTTCTCGGAACACTGTAATCCTCAAATACTCAAAACAACATAATCCTCAAATCCTCAGAATATCGAAATCCTCAAATCCTCAAAACACCATAATACTCAAAGCCTCAGAACACTTTAATCCTCAAATCTTCAGAACACCGAAAACCGCAGATCCTCAAAACACCTGTCCTGTTAATGGATTTGTATCTGTTGGGCAAATACATATTATTATTATTATTAACAACAATCCTCAAATCCTCAAAACACAACAATTCTTAAATCCTTCGAACTTCAAAATCCTCAAATCCTCAGAACACCATAATCCTCAAATTCTCAAAACACAATAATCCTCAGATCCTTAGAACATAAAATTCAAATTCTCAGAACAACATAATCCTCAAAACCTTAAATCTTCAAAACACCCTAATCCTCAAATTCTCAAAATACAATAGTCCTCAAATCCTCAGAACATCAAAACCCCAAAACACTATAATACTCAAATCCTGAGAACAACATAAACCCCAAATAGTAAAAGCTTGATCCTCAAATCATCAGAACATCATAATCCTCAATTTCACAGAACACCGCAATCCTCAAATCCTCAAAACATCATGATCCTCAAATCCTTAGAACATGAAAATCTTCAAATCCTCAGAACATCATAATCCTCAAATTCTCTAAACATCAAAATCCACAAATCCTCAAAACACAATAATCCTCAAATCCTGAGAACAACATAATCCTCAAATTCTTAAATCTTCAAAACACTGTAATCCTCAAATTTTCAGAACACCGTAATCTTCAAATCCTCAAAACACCATAATTCTCAAATCTTCCAAAACGTTATGATCCTCAAATCCTCAGAACATCACACTCCTCAAATTTTCAAAACACTATAATCCTCAAATTGTCAGAACACCGTTATCCTCAAAATATCATGATCCTCAAATCCTCAAAACATCAGAATCCCCAAAACATGCTTCTCAAATCCTCAGAACATCATAATCCTCAAATCCTTAGAACACAACAATCCTCAAATCATCGGAACATCATGAACCTCAAAACCTTACAACATCATAATCCTCAAATCCTCAGAACACCCTAATCCTCAAATTCTTAAAACACAATAATCCTCAAAACCTCTAAACTTCTAAATCTTCAAAACATCATAATATGTACTCAAATCCTCAGATCAACATAATCCTCAAAAAACATAATCCTTCAATCCTCAAATCATGATCCTCAGAGCCTCAGACCACCATAACCTCAAATTCTCAAAACACCATAATTCCAAGTTCTCAGAACATCATAATCCTCAATTTCTCGGAACACTGTAATCCTCAAATACTCAAAACAACATAATCCTCAAAACACCATAATACTCAAAACCCCAGAACACCATAATCCTCAAATCCTTAGAACATCGAAAACCTCAGATCCTCAAAATACCATAATCCTAAAATCCTCAGAACATCATGATCCTCAAATCCTCAAAACACAACAATCCTCAAATCCTCCAAACACCACAATCCTCAAATCCCCAAAACATTATGATCCTCAAATCCTCAGAACATCATAATCCTCAAATCCTCAGAACATCAAAATTCTCAAATTCTCAAAACGTAATCCGCAAATCCTCAGAAAATCATAATCCTCAAACCCTTAAAACACAACAATTCTTAAATCCTTAGAATTTCAAAATCCTCAAATCCTCAAAACACCAGAATACTCAAATCCTGAGAATATAAACCTCAAATAGTCAAAACATGATTTTCAAGTCATCAGAACATCATAATCCTCAATTTCCCAGATCATCGCAATCCTCAAATCGTCAAAAAAACATGATCCTCAATTCCTTAGAACATAAAAATCCTCAAATCCTCAAAACATCATGATCCTCAAATCCTCAGAACATCATAATCCTTAAATTCTCATTACATCAAAATCCTCAAAACACCATGAAACTCAAATCCTGAAAACATGATAATTCTCAAATTTTCCAAAACATTATGATCCTCAAATCCTCAGAACATTAGAATCCTCAAATCCTAAGAACATAACCAATTCTTAAATCCTCAGAAATTCAAAATATATACATTCTCAGAACACCATAATCCTCAAACTCTCAAAACACAATGATCCTCAAATCCTCAGAACAATATAATCTTCAAATTCTCAAAACATCACGATCCTCAAATCCTCAAAACACCAGAATCCTTGAATTCTCAGAACACCGTAATCCTCAAATCCTCCAAACACCATAATCCTCAAATGATCAGAACACCATAATCCTCAACTTCTCAGAACACCGTAATCTCAAAATCGTCAAAACCTCATGATCTTCAAATCCTTAGAACATCATAATCCTCAAATCCTCAGAACACAACAATCCTCAAATCCTCAGAACATCATAATCCTCAAACCCTTACAACACAACAATTCTTAAATCCTTAGAATTTCAAAATCCTCAAATCCTCTAAACACCAGAATACTCAAATCCTGAGAACAATATAAACCTCAAATAGTCAAAACGTGATCTTCAAGTCATCAGAACATCATAATCCTCAATTTCCCAGAACATAAAAATCCTTAAATCCTCAAAACATCATGATACTCAAATCCTCAGAACATCGTAATCCTCAAATTCTCAAAACACAATAATCCTTAAATCCCCAGAACATCATAATCCTTAAATTCTCATTACATCAAAATCCTCAAAACACCATGAAACTCAAATCCTGAAAACATGATAATTCTCAAATTTTCCAAAACATTATGATCCTCAAATCCTCAGAACATTAGAATCCTCAAATCCTAAGAACATAACCAATTCTTAAATCCTCAGAAATGCAAAATCCTTACATTCTCAGAACACCATAATCGTCAAACTCTCAAAACACAATGATCCTCAAATCCCCAGAACAATATAATCTTCAAATTCTAAAACATCACGATCCTCAAATCCTCAAAACACCATAATCCTTGAATTCTCGGAACACCGTAATCCTCAAATCCTCCAAACACCATAATCCTCAAATGATCAGAACACCATAATCCTCAACTTCTCAGAACACCGTAATCTCAAAATCGTCAAAACCTCATGATCTTCAAATCCTTAGAACATCATAATCCTCAAATCCTCAGAACACAACAATCCTCAAATCCTCAGAACATCATAATCCTCAAACCCTTAAAACACAACAATTCTTAAATCCTTAGAATTTCAAAATCCTCAAATCCTCAAAACACCAGAATACTCAAATCCTGAAAACAATATAAACCTCAAATAGTCAAAACATGATCATCAGTCATCAGAACATCATAATCCTCAATTTCCCAGAACATCGCAATCCTCAAATTGTCAAAAGAACATGATCCTCAAATCCTCAGAACATCGTAATCCTCAAATTCTCAAAACACAATAATCCTTAAATCCTCATAACATCAAAATCCTCAAAACACCATGAAACTCAAATCCTGAAAACACCATAATTCTCAAATTTTCCAAAACATTATGATCCTCAAATCCTCAGAACATTAGAATCCTCAAATCCTAAGAACATAACCAATTCTTAAATCCTCAGAAATGCAAAATCCTTACATTCTCAGAACACCATAATCGTCAAACTCTCAAAACACAATGATCCTCAAATTCCCAGAACAATATAATCTTCAAATTCTCAAAACATCACGATCTTCAATTCCTCAAAACACCATAATCCTTGAATTCTCAGAACACCGTAATCCTCAAATCTCAAAACATGACAATTCTCAAATCCCTAGAACACAACACTCCTCAAATCCTCAGAACATCATGATCTTTAAATCCTCAGAACATCATAATCCTCAAATCCTCAGAACACAACAATCCCCAATCTTTAAAACTTCAAAATCCTTAACTTCTCAGAACACCGTAATCTCAAAATCTTCAAAACCTCATGAACTTCAAATCCTTAGAACATCATAATCCTCAAATCCTCAGAATACAACAATCCTCAATTCCTCATAACATCATAATCCTCAAACCCTTAAAACACAACAATTCTTAAATCCTTAGAATTTCAAAATCCTCAAATCCTGAAAACAATATAAACCTCAAATAGTCAAAACATGATCATCAGTCATTAGAACATCATAATCCTCAATTTCCCAGAACATCGCAATCCTCAAATCGTCAAAGGAACATGATCCTCAAATCGTTAGAACATAAAAATCTTCAAATCCTCAAATCCTCAGAACAATACAATCCTCAAATCCTGAGAACATAAACAATTCTTAAATCCTCAGAAATTCAAAATCCTTAAATCCTCAGACCATAATCCTCAAACTCTCAAAACACAATGACCCTCAAATCCTCAGAACAACATAATCCTCAAAACATCATGAACTTCAAATCCTCAGAACAACATAATCCTCAAATCCTCAAAATATCATGATCCTCATATCCTCAAAACACCATAATCCTTGAATTCTCAGAACACCGTAATCCTCAAATTCTCAAAACATGACAATACTCAAATCCTCGGAACATCATGATCCTTAAATCCTCAGAACATCAGTCCTCAAATCCTCAGAACACAACAATCCTCAATCCTCAAATCCTCAGAACACCATATCCTCAAATTCTTAAAACAATAATCCTCAAATCCTCAAAACATCAAAATTCTCAAAACGCCATAATATGTACTCAAATCCTCAGAACATCATAATCCTAAATTCCTCAGAACACCATAATCCTTAAACTTTCAAAACACCACAATCCTCAAATCCTCAGAACACGAAAATCCTCAAATCCTCAGAGCACGAAAATCCTCAAATCCTCAGAACACAATAATCCACAAAAAAAAACAATATTGTACAATTTAACTTTAAATCTGAAATTTTGCAAACACCTTAAATTTATTGAAAGCCGGGTAGATCGTTAATCAAAATTTTTCTGTCATCTTACAATTTTGCCGAATAAATGTTCGTATTAGTATTTTTGGGTAAAATTTTTGGATGCGGTTAAATAATTAATCAATCTCCTCTTTTGTGTTGAGGAAACAAATTACAATTTCTTTTCATTTTAACCGCTGATGCTTATCATCTGCAAGTGCTAATAGTCGAATTTTTTCGAAATATAACATAAACAGTCGAAGTTAAGCATGTAGCGAGAAATTGAGAATATAAAAATTTTTTCTGTTGGTGATCTGTTTTAGATATATTTTACATTACTCATATTTGTGCGGGCCGCGGGGTATTAATTACTTCACTAGTTTTTATTTCTGTATTGTTTTTACTCCATAGTAAAAGTTTACACAAAAAGTAAACTTCCGCAAAATTAAATTTTATACTAAATTTGTTGGACTGTACTTCAGGGGCGAGGGAAGTTCTCCCGAAATAACCTTCAACCAATGTTTGTTTCTCTACAGAAAATGGTTTAATTGTGACGGCGAGCTCAACATTATTGAAAACCCTTGCCAGGAAATTTCCTACAGACCACACCTGAAACACCTTCTCGTAGACGAAGTCGCCACTTACTTACCGGCAAAAATCGAAGACACTGAATGTGAAGAAATCGTAGTAGTTAGGGAGAACCTCCTTCAACTACAAATTTCTTCGCTAAAATTCACCCACCACCCTTTGTTTAGCTTGGAGCACGTGCTCGCACAAAAATTGAAGAAACTATACACGGAATATGAAGAAAGTGTTTTGAAGAATGACCTAACAAGACTTACCAGACGTGTCGAAGGTTTGAGAAAACTTCTGAAACACTGGGAAGACACTTCAAGTCAATCTGGCGACCAATCGGACAGAGAAGACGGAAAAATGGAAGCATATAGAAGGGACATAAAAGAGCTACAAGAACAAGTCTTCCAAGAGGGAAAAAAGGAAAGGGATAGAGTTCGAACGATGTTACAGACGTGGAAAGCCGTCAAGAAAGTACGAGAGACAAACAAGTATGCAAATACCCTGGTGCGACTAATCATAAAAAAAGAAAAAATCAACTATGAAGAAGACAAGGAAAATTTTGAACGCACGTTTGAAGAAACCTACGAAGACTTTCTTGATTACAATCGGGAAAAATCGAGACGCAAAAGACAAGACGAAGACGAAATTAGGGAAGAGCTCCAGGAACGGTTTAAGGAGAGTTTTAGGGCCCCGGGGGAACCAATTTTATACTTCACACTCACCAATGACAACGAAGTTAACAAATCTATAGACAACACCAAAGAAACGAGTCGAAGAAACGTTGTTGCGTCTACCAAAGTCGCTCTAAAGATAATTTGTAACAAGATGGAGGTGTGTAGGACAAAATGGGTGAACTTGCAAGACGATTTCACGTGTAACTTCGACGAAACTATTTCGATACAATTAATAAGCGTTCCAAAGTCAATCACAGTGGAAATTATCGAACAACCGAAATCTCTCATCAAAAGAACTGTAGGCGAACTCGCTTTAAAAATACCCGCGAAAACGTTAAACGAGAAGAAAAAAATTGAAGCTACGTTCGATAAAGACGAAACTGTTCACTACAAACACGAAGGAGTCGGAAGTGGCTTAAAAATGGACAGTTTAGTACATAATTTAGGTCTTCCGGTCAATGAAGACGACATTCTTAACACCTCCGGTTGTCTAGTGTATTCCCTAACGTGGGATTCATCCACGCAACCTGACGAAAACAGTCCAGAAAGCGCCAGACGAATCCTTAACGAAATAATCGACAAAAACGGGTCAGTAGATCCCGAGAAACTCTCCCACTGGATGCAGCAACACAAACCGGACCCTCTGGACCCCCGAAATTCGATTTTGTACGAGTACGCGTTTGACTCCAATGAAGACATAATTGCGCCCAACACACCCAAAAAATATTTTCGCTTGAACCACCAAATGGAAGGTTGGCAATTCTGCGACCCCAAAATCCTGGAAGACAATCTCCGACTGAAGGTTTTGCAACTGAGGAATCGGAATGAGCCCGAATTCGACCGAATGATGGTCCCTAACCGGATTAAGGAAATCCCGCTGGATATTCTTTCGGATTATAAGAGAAGAATCGCGGCGGAGCGCGAAGCGATGTCCATCGAAGAAGACGACGATGAAGAAGAGGTCGAAAAGAAGAGGAGCAGCGGGCGGAAGCATTTGAAGCAAATCCACATTAGAGTTTTCCAGAAGTGTAAAAATTCGCAGGATAATCTTACGTTCGAGGATGTGGTGGACGAGAAATTGTTGCCCCAGTTGGAGTAAGTGTTTTATAAAATGAAACAATTGTATTAGGTGACTTTGGTTTCAGAAAACTGGTCACAGGACTAGTTGCCGGTTTTATCAGGTGGTTTCAGTGGCGTCCTCTCAAGCCTCTTCCCGAAACGAAAACGTCCAAGCAAAACGACTACGATTTACAAAGTCAAGTTAAAGTTGTTATTAACGTTATTTCGGGGCTTAATATTCCTGTGCAACGGGAAGGCAAAAATGAAGTCGTCAATCCTTTTGTTGAAGCTGAATATAATGATAAAAGTGTCAGGACTTTGACGAGTCAAGGACCTCATCCTAGTTGGAACGAAAAATTGGTTTTGCCACTCGAACCCTCACATTTGGATTATTTGAACCCTAATTCGCTCAATGGAACGATTATTATTAATCTGTTTGATGAAAGTGATAAAGTTTTGTTGAGATTTGGGGGTGAGAAAGGCAAGAACTGGTTAGGAAGTGTGGAAATTCCTTTATCAGCGATATGTTTTAATGGGGTGGGTATTTCTTTATATGAACCTATTTTATTATATTTTGTTGTAATCGAGTACATTGGACGAATGACTCGTTTTATGTTTTCTCGACGTTTCATGACCCTTAGAGTACCGAAAAATAGTCCCGTTTCCGTCTGTCTGTCTGCCGTCCGTTTTAAGATAATCTATCGCAACCATATCTTTATTTTAAGTTATAAGGGGTATCAAAAAAATAAAATTCGCAAAATCAATTGTTATTATTTTTCGAAAAATCTTGATTTATTTACCATCGACCAATTTTTTTGATTTCACTTTTTCAACTTGCAATTTTTCGCTTTCTTAACTCTTCATTGATTGATTTTTATTTTTCATTTTCCCGATTTTTTAATTTTCGTTTATTCTCGATTTTATAGCATAATTTTTCACTTATTTAATTTTTCAATTCCTCCATTTCCCAATTTATAATTTTGGAATTTTTGGATTCCTCAATTATTCGATTTCTTTAATTTTCAATATTTAGATTTTCCAATATTTTGGTTTGTTGCACTTTTTCGATTTTGAAGTTTCTCAGTTTTTCATTTTTCGATTTTTCATTTTTTCAATTTTTTAAGTTCTTGATTTCCAGTTTTTAGATTTTCAAAAGTTTTCATTAAATACTTTTTCATTTTTGATTTTTCAATTTTATAACATTTCCACTTTTTTTATTCGAAAAGTTGAAAAAAGAAAAATCGAAAAACCAAAAAGTCGAAGAACTGAGTGAACGAAAAATTTAAACTTTGAAAAAACCAAAATCCAGAAACTTAAAAGTGGAAAAAACGAATGAATCGAGAAATTGGAACGAAGAAAAAACGAATCGAAAAATTGTAAAATAAAAAATTGTGCAATCGAAAAGTTGTAGAATCATCAAAATTGGCAATTCGAAAAACTGTAACATTGAAAGAAAAATAAATGGAAAAGTGAAACATTTTAAAAATTATAATAATTACTAGCGGAACCCGGCAGACGTTATCCTGCTTGTGTATATATTTACTTTGTATATATGTGGATATAAATGTATGGTCTGGAGCGCAGAATGCGTTGTAGAAAACTGAATAATAAGATAACTCATATTGATGCTATTCCATTTATTTTCATTAGTATACACAATGTACACATTTTTGTATTAGTAATTCACGTGAATGAACAAAATTTTTGACTATTGTATTCGCTATATATGCTAGTCCAAAAGGTGTAAGGTTATATGACCATTATAAAAGTAGTGACCGCAAATAAGTACCCCCTTTGTGTGGTTCGCACTAAGCTTACCGGTTGGCAATAAATCGTCTTCTCAACATTTCTTGCTCATATTTAACAGGGCCGGCTTTCAAAGCGAGTGGTGATTTCGGAACCCTCAGCGGCTGCAGGTAGTAAAGAAATAGTGGAGTGGTAGATTTACATATTTAGTGAAAGCCGCCCCTGAACGAAATCACAACAGCCGGTCGAGCTCCATTGGACACGTTATTTACGACCCTAAAACCTTTTCTATTGTAAACAACTTAACTTCGACACAATGGGATGATTTTATGATGGCCATATAACCTTATAGCTTTTGGTCCACTATAACTGAAACAACTTGAACACATTTTAATCAATACTAACATCTATCGTAACGCTAGTGGGTAAACAATATTTTTGGTTTTTCGATTTGGTGTATAGACGTACAGAGTTTTTGGAATTCCTACTCTGGAGCAAGCAACATACAGTTGACCATGCGAAAAACATGGATTTCCTAAATTTAATCCGGCAACGCGCAGAGACTGCCCTTGGGCTTTGTTGATTGCCATCGCGAAAGCAAGACGCACAGGATACTGTAGTCGTTTTGAATGTAAAGGGCAAATCAGTAGGAACCATTGGAATGCGCGGAATCAGTTTGATTTTTTGGATGGCATTTTCAATAATCTCTAGTAATTCACTCTTTGTTATTACTGAGGATTGTAGACAGTGAACATCACTAATGATTTTATTTTGCGGTCAATACGATTTTTGTTGTAATACCAACGAAAACAATGCTGTCATTGGTGCCGCCATATATCTAATACTTGCTAACTCTTCAGAAGTAACATAGAAACGGTGTTCACGGACAAAGAGAGACGGAAGATATTGTTTTCTGTCTAGAAAAGTACCGAGGGTCTGTGCGCACGTACACAAAATAGAAGCGAACGTATGAAATGTCAAAACACATCTAGTCACATTATCGACTAAAAATCAAGCAAGTACGAGTATATGAGCAGTACTGTTTGGTACTATAGAGAGACAAAGAGGTCCGATATATTGCTCTGACGTTGTGTTTTCGGACTCTTTTGAGGCCTGATAGCAATATAGTAGTATTATATATATGGGTGCCGCTGATTCTCTAAGTTCATAATACTTTAACAGAGAGGTTGATGTGCTGCAGTGCCATCTAGTGGCAAGTTACAGCAAAATCGATAACGCGAAAATATTCTCCATGGTCAAATACCAACGTATATCAATTTTCATGAGGATCGGTTGATTGGTACAGAAGTTGATGTGTTGCAGCGCCATCTAGTGGCGAGTTACAGCAAAATGGATAGGGCGAAAATATTCTCCATAGTCAAATGCCAACGTGTACCAATCTTTATGAGAATCGGTTGAACGGTGTAGAAGTTGATGTGCTGTAGCGCCATCTAGTGGCTAGTTACAGCAAAGCGGATACTATAAAAACCTTCTCCATGAAAAACCACTTACATGTGCCAAATTTCATGGTGATCGGTCAAACGATTTCGGAGTCTATCGATCACAGATGTATATACCAACATCCATTTTTATATATATAGATTATTAAAACTGAGAAACTGAAAAATCTAAAATTATTATTAATAAATAATTATTGAAAAACCGAAAATCTGAAAACATGGAGAAAATAAAAAACCGAAACGAAAAATTGTAAATCCAAAAATTAGAAAATCCAAAAATTGAAAATTCGTGAAATTCCCAATCGAAAAATTGCACAATCTAAAAATTGAAATGTCCAAAAGTTGGAAGATCGAAAAAATGAAAAATCTAAAATTTTTCGTTTCTTCCATTTTTCGATATGTAATTAAACAAATTCAGTTTTTGGATTTTGCAACTTTTGGATAATAATTCAGTTTTTTCAAGTTACAATTTTTCGATTTGCAATTTCAGGAGTTATCAATTTTTCGCTTTTTGTTCTTATTTCAAAATTTTTCTTTTTTTCAATGTGAAATTTTTCAGTTTTTCGATTTGCAATTTTTCGATTTACAATTTTTCAGTTTTTCAACTTTCAGATTTTTTCATTTTTCGTTTTTCCAATTCTAGAATTTTCAGCTTCCCGATTTTTTCATTTTTCGTTTCGTTAATTTTTGATTTGCAATTTTTCTTATTGCCATTTTAAAATATGTATTATTATTATAATTTTAAAAAATGCTTACTTTTTCTTTCTTGCGATTTTAACATTTTTCCATTTTTCAATTATTGGATTTTGAAACTGTTCTATTTATTCGATTTTTCAAATCGAAGAACTGGAGAAACGAAAATTGAAACATTGAAAAACTAAAAATCGAGAAATTAAAAAAAAAATTAATGAATCGAAAAATTGGAAAACCCAAAAACTATTAAATCGAAAAATTATAGAATCGTCAAAATTGTAGAGTTGAAAAACAGAAACATTAAAAGATCCAAAAATTGAAAAATTAAATATCGAGAAATTGAAAATTTTCGATTTTCCACTTTTTCGATTTTGTTGCTTCTCGTGTCTTCAGTTTTCCGATTTTTCAATTTTTCTAGTTTTTTTTTTTAATTTTTCGATTGTTAATTTTCCGATTTTGTAACTTTTCGAATCAAAAAATTGAAAAATTGTAAAACTGAAAAATGAAAAAACGAAAAAGTATAAAATGAAGACTTGAAAAATCTAAAAATTGGAAATCAATAACTTAAAAATCATAAAAATGCAAAATCGAAAACACGAAATATTGTAAAATCGAAATTTTGAAAATTAAAGACACCTGCAAATCGTATAATTGAGAAATCCAAAAATTGCAAAATTAAAAAATCGAGGAATTGAATAATTTAAAAATTGGAAAATCGAGAAATTGAAAAATCGAAGACTGAACATCTGAAAAACTGAATAAACGGAAAATCATAAAAATGAAAGAATCATTGAAAAAAATTAAGGAAATGAAAAAACGAAAAATTGCAAAATCGAAAAATATTACATACATATTTAGAGTGAAAACTAGACAAAATGCAAATAAAAATTGAAGAAACGAAAAAATGAGAAACTGAAAAATCCAAAATTGTAAAGCGAAAAATTGAAAAATCTATAAACTGAAAAATTTCACATTGAAAAAAAAAATGGAGAAAATAAAAAATCGAAAGGAAAAATTGCAAAATCTAAAAATTGAAATATCCAAAAGTTGGGAGATCGAAAAACCGAAAAATTGTAAAAATAAAGAAAATGAAAAATGGAAAACCGAAAAATTAAAAATCGAAAAACTAACCAATAATCGGAAAAATGGTAAAATCGAAAAATTGAAATCTCAAAAAATTGGAAAATCGAAAAACTGAAGAAACAAAAACAATGAAAAATTTGAAAATTGCAAATATAATTGAAAAAAAGAAACATTGAAAAAATGGGAATTGAAAAAACAAAAAAATATAAAATCGGAAAATGAGAAAACGAAAAATTGTCAAAATAAAGAAAATAAAAAACCGAAAATTGCAAAATTAAAAAATCGAGGAATCGAATAATTTAAAAATTGGAAAATCGAGGAATTGAAAAATCGAAGAACAACTGAAAAATTGAATAAACAGAAAATCATAAAAATGAAAGAATCATTGAAAAAAAATAAGGAAATGAAAAATCGAAAAATTGCAAAATCGAAAAATATTACATACATACTTACAGTGAAAACTAGAGAAAATGCAAATTAAAAATTTAAGAAACGAAAAATTGAGAAACTGAAAAATTGAAAAATCCATAAATTGAAAAATTTCACATTGAAAAAAAATTTATAAAATTATTATTAATAAATTATTGAAAAACCGAAAAACTGAAAAAATAGAGAAAATAAAAAATCGAAAGGAAAAATTGCAAAATCTAAAAATTGGAATATCCAAAAGTTGGGAGATCGAAAAACTGAAAAATTTAAAAATTGCAACTCGAAAAACTGAAGAAACGAAGCACTGAAAACTGGAATCGACAAAAAACAAAACATTATAAAATGGGAACATCAAAAATCGAAAAATTGTAAAAATAAAGAAAATAAAAAATGGAAAACCGAAAAATTAAAAATCGAAAAACTAAACAATAATCGGAAAAATGGTAAAATCGAAAAACTGAAATCTCAAAAAATTGGAAAATCGAAAAACTGAAGAAACAAAAACAATAAAAACGCTGGAATCAAAAAACAAAAAACCGAAAATCGAAAAATTAAAAATCGGAAAAAATTGCAAAATCGAAAAACTGACAGAAAGAGAAATTGCAAAATCGAAAAAGTGCAAAATCTAAAAATTTTGGGCCACTAGTTTTAACTTTATAGAGGTTATCAGAAAACAAAATACGCAACAAATGTATCATTTTTCAAAGAAACGGGATTTGTTGGGCTGTACTTCAGGGCCCAGGGAAATTCTGTTGAATTAATCTTCAACCATTTGTTTTTCAAATTTTAATGATGAAAAATTTTCAGCTTCAAGGGATGTTCAAAGTCAAAACCCCCTACCTACTATTCGGCTACGGAGGCAAAACCCAAGCCCAGAACAAATCCTCACGAAACAACACTCAACCCACTCAACAAACATACTTGAACCTCCACATATCCATAGAACCCAACGTCCCAAAACTAAACCCCGCCGTGGTAAGTCGAAACATCAGCCACCCCCAAAAATTAACACCAATTTCAGGAGGACCTCCCTTGCGCCGACCTACCCTACATAAAAGAACACTGTCTACTCTGGAACGAAGACTTCAACACCCGCTACCCACACCGAAAATTCTCAGTTTTCGCCATCGACACCAACGCCACCACAACTTGCATCGTACGCTACATTAAACCCCTGGAGCCCCCACAAATCAACGTAGAAGGCTTCGACGTCACCCCCGAACAGTGCGCCCGATTTGTGTCTTTAATTCCATTCACGGACTGCAACGAATTTTACAAAAACATCTGGCTTCCAACTGAAGTAACTGTGTATTAAATTTAAAACCAACATTAACGATTGTTATTTTTATTGTAGAAATTTCTACACTTCATGATTGGTTCAATCATAGACCACGCAGTGGCTTTAACGTGTTATCTCCTGGCTTTAAAAATGGAAGTGTGGCTTTTGCTAGGTTTCGGGGTTCCATACGGTTCCACCGCTTTTGTTCTAGTAAAAGAGTATGACAACAATCAAATTCCCGTTTATTACTTGTTTGACGTGGTTCAGGGGGCGAAAATTAATCTGACGGACGCGTTCTGCCCTCTCCAGAAGGTGTATTGTGTTGTCAATGAACAAAACGTAATTTTTGTATTTTTTAGCATTTTCGTGTTTGAAGATTTGTTATTAATTATAGATTTGGGGGAATATTCAGAGAAACGACGACGTATCAACAATGAGGTTTGATTTAACCCGTAGATTTGACTGGGTGGCTTTATTTAATAATCAAAATGCAGCCCCCACAACTTCCATTCAAGGGATAATTACGTATTTACCCAAACCTATTACCGACGAACTGGAAATCATTGTGGACCGAAAAATCCGGAAGCGAGTGGCAAAAATGAGACAACTGGATCGCACTATATGGAATCACCATGTCTCCAACACAGTCAAAGGAATTTTAAGCGCGTTTGAAAAAACTGAAATGTATGGCAAAAGCAATTCAGACGTTTTTGACGAAATTAAGAAGTTGACAAAGATGTATAAGGTTTGTAATAACTGCAACAATGCGTATTAGTCATAGTTAACACTCTAGATGCGTGGACACATTTTCAATTCAGCCTTTACTGACACATCTTCGATTGTTAAACGAATAAAATCATATGGTGTGCACTTAGTGGAAGAAGACAAGGCTCAATTCGCATCCGCCGTGTACGTGAAGCCCTACCCCAATCAAGTTTTGTCGGTTTGGATATTTTTAGGGGCAATACATGACATAAATCTGGCGGAGGAAGAGCCCCCATATTGACAATATTTTTACAAAATTGTTAATTTTATATTTACTGTAAGTACGAAATAAAGTAATAATTAATAATAAACTTACCTATTAGTTTTAATAACAATAAACATGGGTTTTGCTCAATTTACAACAATAAACAAGTCTGCACCGGTTCAAGAAACGTCAAATGTCATTTTAATGTCAAATAAAACTTGGCGCGCACTAACAAATCTAGTGACATTTTTGAGTAACTGTTCGGTGATCACGACCTAGTGTTAGAGCAGCTGGCAGAATAGAAGATGACATGGGCGGAGCTTAGGCTGCGCGGCTTCAAGTCACCAGTGTCGTACCATACAACATTTCATTAATTATTTTTTATTTAATTAATTAAATTTAGTCTTTAACAAGGCTGTTTTAGTTATTAAAAAAGAAATACCTTGGAAAACACAAAGCAACTCGAGAAGACATACCAACCCATAGATTAATATAGATGCGACATAGAGGCTGATTTTGCAAAACCACCCTTATTGACATTGGAATCCTCAAGCGCCAAAAAATGTAAAATTTAAAAACCGAATAACGAAAAATCGAGAAATCTAAACTCCCAAATTTAAAAAATCGGATAACTGAAAAATCGAAACATCGAAAAACTGAGAAATCGAAAAATCAAAAGATCAAGAAATCGTGGAGTCGAAAAGTCGAACAATTGAGAAACCGAAATAGGTCAAAATCGAAAAGTTAAAAATTGAACAATTTATAAATTGAGAAATCGACAATCAAAATATCGAAGAATCCAAATCTCGATAAATCGAGAAATCAAAAAACTTAAAAATTCGAAAAATTGAAAAATTGAGAGATTGAAAGATCCAAAGAACGAGAAATCGAAAAGTGATGAAGTCGAAAAATCGAAAAATAGAGAAATCGATAAACAAAAAGTTAAAAGTTGAAAAATTGGAAAAGCGGAAAAATCAAAAAACGAAAAAATGTAACACTGGAAAAACTGAGAAACCGAAATAAAAAATTGAAAAAATGATAAATCGAAAACCTGAACAATCAAATCTCGATAAATCGGGGATGAAAAATTAACAAATCGAAAAATTGAAAAATAGAACATCTAAAACCAGGAAATCGAAAAATAAAAAGATTAAGAAATACTGAAAAATTAAAATATCAAATGAGTGAAAAATCTAAAATTTAAAAATCCAAAAATTAAAAAATCGAAAAAGTAAAAAGATAGACACATCGAAAAACCCAGAAGTCAAAAATAGAAAAGCCGAAGAATTGAAATATTGAAAAATCCTAAACTGAAATATCTAAAAACTGAAAAATCGAAAAATCAAAAAAGTGAAGTCGAAAAATAGAAACTTTAAAAAATCGAAAAATTGAAAAATCAAAAACCTGAAAAATCAAAAAATTAAAGAATTGAAGAACAAGAAAATCGTAACACTCGAAGGTCAAGAAATTGGGAATTCAAAACATCGATTAATTGAAAAATCGAAAAATTGAGAGTTTATAAAAGTCAAATTTGAAAAATTAAAAAATTGAAAATTTGACAAAATGACAATTGAAAAACAGAAAATCTAAAACCGGGAAGTCGAAAAATCAAAAGATTAAGAAATCGAAACATTTGAAAAATTCGAAAACTTGAAAAATTGAAATATCAAAGAACTGAAATGAAAAATCGAGAAATCGAAAAATCTAAAATTTTTAATATTAAAAAATCTAAAATTTAAAAATCGAAAAATTGAAAAATCGAAAAAGTAAAAAAATGGACATATCGAAAAATCTAGGAGTCAAAAATCGACAAGTCGAAGAATCGAAATATTGAAAAATCCCAAAACTAAAATATCGAAAAACTGAAAAATGAAAGAAAAACTGAAAAATGGAAAACCTGAAAACTCCGAAAACTAAAATATCCAAAAACTGAGAACCTAAAAAGTCGAAAAATTGAGCAATAGAAAAATCCAAAAATTGAAACCTTAAAAAAATTAAAAAATAAAAAATAAAAAATCAAAAACCTGAAAAATCGAAAAATTAAAGAATTGAAGAACATGAATATCGAAACCCTCGAAAGTCAAGAAATGGGAAAATCAAAACATCGATTAATGGAAAAATCGAAAAATTGACAGTTTATAAGTGTCAAATTTGAAAAATTGAAAAATCGAAATTTAAAAAAAACGACAATTGAAAAACAGAAAATCTAAAGCGGGAAGTCAAAAAATCGATTGATTAAGAAATCAAAACATTTGAAAAATTCGAAAACTTGAAAAACTGAAAATATCGAAGAACTGAAATGAAAAATCGAGAAATCGAAAAATCTAAAATTTTAAATATTGAAAAATTAAAATATCAAAAAACTGAAAAATCTAAAATTTAAAAATCGAAAAATTGAAAAAATGACAATTCAAAAACAGAAAATCTAAAACCGGGAAGTCAAAAAATCGAAAGATTAAGAAATCCAAACATTAGAAAAATTGAAATATGGAAGAGCTGAAATGAAAAATCGAGAAATCGAAAAATCTAAAATTTTAAATATGAAAAATTAAAATACCAAAAAACTGACAAATCTAAAATTTAAAAATCGAAAAAGTAAAAAGTCGACACATCGAAAAATCCAGAAAAATGAAAAAAAACTGACGAATCAAAAAACTGAAATATGCAAAAACTGAGAATCTAAAGAATCTAAAAATCAAAAAAGTGAAGTCGAAATATCGAAACCTTAAAAAAATCGAAAAATTGAAAAATCAAAAACCTGCAAAATCGTAAGATCGAAAAATTGAATAATAAGTAAACTGTTCTCAACTGTTTCTCAACAAGAAACTTAAAACTGGTTAAAACGGTACATTTTTGAAACGAAAAATGGATTTTGCAATTATGGGGCGGAGCCTAATTGCAAAATTGATATTTTCTTATACAAATCTTCCATTTTAAACATACTTTAAGTTTCTTGTCTGTACATATTAAAACAAAAAGGCAAAATGTAAGCCCACCCATCCGCCCTATCTCAATTGTGATGATTTTTTTTATTCGCCGAGAACCAAAGGGGCGGAGCTTAACGGCAAACCACTTATTTCTTCACAAGAAATTAAAAACATGTTTTTGAGTATCGTGTTGTTCAAAGAATACTACGTATATTAAGAAGAAAAGGCAAAACATAAACCCCGCCCACCCACCCTGTCTCAATTGTGATGATTTTTTTATTCATAGTAACTTAAAACACGTTTAAAATGATAAATTTTTGTAAAGAAATACGGATTTTGCCATTAAATTCCGCTCCTTTGACTCTCGGCTATCAAAAAAAATCATCACAATTGAGATAAGGAGGGTGGGCGGGTCTCCATTTTGTCTTTTTTTCTCAATATGTGTAGACTTATTTCGACAACAAAAAACTTAAATCATGGTTAAAATGGCATATTATTCCAAGGAAATATTGATTTTTTTTATGGGGCGGAACCTATTTGTAAAATCGACATTTCCTTATACAAATTTTCAATTTTAAACATGTTTTAAGTTTCATGTTGTGAAATGAGGTCTGCACATATTAAAACAACAAAGCAAAATATAAGCCCGCCCACCCGCCCTATCTCAATTGTGATAATTTTTTTTATTCGCCGTGAACCAAGAGGGCGGAGCTTAACTGCAAAATACTTCATTGTTTATAAGAAATTAAAAACATGTTTTTGAGTATCGTGTTGTTCAAAGAATACTAAGTATATTGAGAATAAAGGCAAAGTATAAACTCCGCCCACCCACCCTGTCTCAATTGTGATAATTTTTTTTATTCATAATAACTTAAAACACGTTTAAAATGATAAATTTTTGTTAGAAAATACGGATTTTGCAATTAAATTCCGGTCCTTTGACTTACGGCTATCAAAAAAAAAAAATCATCACAATTGATATAGGGCGGGTGGGCGGGGTTTATATTTGGCCTTTTTTCTTAATATACGTAATCGCCTTTTCAGAACAAGAAACTTAAAATGGTAAATTCTTGTAGACAAATATAGATTTTGCAATTAAGCCCTGCCCATCGATCTGACAACGAATTAAAAATTCATCACAATTGAGAATTGACATCGGGGCGGGTATTGGTGGGGTCTAATCTTTGCCTTTATTTTTTTCTTAATATACTAGTATTCTTTGAACAATACGATACGCAAAAACATGTTCTTAATTTCTGATAGAGAAATAAGGATTTTGCAGTTAAGCTCCGCCCCTTTGGCTCATGACGAATAAAAAAAATCATTACAATTGAGATAGGGTGGGTGGGCGGGGCTCCATTTTGACTTTTTTTCTCAATATTTGTGGACTTATTTCAACAACAAGAAACTTAACACATGGCTAAAACAGTACATTTTCGCAAGGAAATATAGATTTTGCAATTATGGGGAGGACTTAATTGCAAAGTCGACTTTTCCTTATACAAATTTTCCATTTTAAACATGTTTTAAGTTTCATGTTGTAAAAAGAATTTTATACATATTAAAACAAAAAGGCAAAATGTATGGCCACCCACCCGCCCTATCTCAATTGTGATGATTTTTTTTATTCGTCGTGAGCTTAACTGCAAAAAACTTATTTCTTCACAAGAAATTAAAAACATGTTTTTGAGAATCGTATTGTTTCAAGAATACTATGTATATAAAATAAATATAACTGTCCCAAAACTGAAATGTCAAAAAACTGAGAAATTAAAAAACTGAAAAATTTAGAAATCGGAAAATCAAAAAAGTGAAGTTGAAAAATCTAAACCTGAAAAACAGAAAAATTGAAAAACCAAAAAACCTGAAAAATCAATCAATTGAAAAATCGACAAATAAAGAGTTTATAAAAGTAAAAAATTGAAAAATCGAAATATTTAAAAATCGTAAAATTGAAGAGAAAAACTGAGTAACAGCGAGTAGACGCGCGCCACTGTGTATTATACGTATCTCCCTTCAGCTCCCAATGGACTCGACCAGAACGAAATTGTGCGATCTGCGCTGGTCACGTGCTGTCTGTCATCTTTCATTTTGCTGGCCGCTCTAGACATGTGTTCGGTTTTCTAACCTCACTTTGTTCGGTCTATGGATATAAAAGTGAATTTTAAAGCAGGGGGCTCGTTCGTGGAGCTCCCACCGCAGTTTTCTTCCAACGCTGAGTGAGTACTTACCTTTTAAACCACTGTAATACATGTGTAATTTTAGAAATGTGTATATCGCCTGGAAGAACCGAATCTTGGGTTATAGTACCAAAACAGGGGCACAGTTCGCCGAATTTAGAGGAATCAAGGACCGAATCGTGGGTTTTGGGGTCCACTACTACGACTCGTATGAGTGTGTCACCGCTTGTTCCAGTTCTGGAGAGATAATCACGTGGAAAGTTGTAACTTTTTTCAAGCTATTAACAAAGGTTTGGTGTTTGTATCAACAAGTATAAATTCTAATATTCCCGTTTTAGACTATTAAAGAGCGCAACATTAAGACGTTTCACGTTATACAGTCAGAAGGTGCCCCCAGAGCGCTAATTTCCTTCAAACAAGATGGGAAGATTGTATTTCAAATCATCGAGCTGACGCTTGAAATTAGTCACAATTGTGGCCTAACAATCACCCCATATCACTACCAAGTGGACGTTTCAAGCGATAAATATTTCGCCGTTGTGCAAAAACTTTCCCTCAACGTTGTTTCGTTTAAAGATGTTTTAAAAGTTTACACTTTTTGCATAGATAGTCCGCGCGAATTCACGTGTGTGGCATGTCACCCGGAAAACGAGATTATTTTGACTGGCGACAGCGCAGGTCGTGTGGTGGTTTGGCAAAGAATTTTTACGTCAAAACCGTCGAAAGCCGTGTTTCATTGGCACACACTTCCTGTTAAGTGTCTCGGGTTTTCTACGTCAGGAAGCTACTTTTACAGTGGGGGCGACGAGTCCGTTTTGGTTAGGTGGCAGTTGGATAATCACTATGAAAGAAAATTTTTACCAAGATTGGCTTCCACGATAGCCCAGATCAGGGTTTCCTCTAATAATGCGTTAGTCGCGATTGCGACTAATGATAACGCTGTGAGAATCGTGGATCCGAGGTTTGAGAACGTCAGTCTGATTCAGAATTTAGTGATAGGGGACAGCTATGAAACTGGGATTGTTGTGGACCCAAAAACGAAAGCGCTAATTATGAATGGGAATGTGGGTCAAATCCAGTTTTATTCGTCCTGTGATAATAGTCTTTTATATAATGTGAGTTCACTTCGCTATTAATAATATTTTTGTATTTGGATTTTTTCTGTAGGTAGATGTTGTTGGTCAGAATAAAGTAAGTAGTGAGAGAAATTGTAATATAGAAAACACCCAAGTGTCCAAAATCGCGATTAGTAAAAACGGACTTTGGCTTGCCACCGTTGAATCCAGACGAGACCCGGACTATTCTTCCGAATTACGTCTAAAATTATGGAAATTTGACGTCACTATTCAAAGGTAACTCAAATATTAAAATAACTGTGGCACAAATTGTAAAATATTTTTTTAGTTTCAAGTTAAATACATGGATGGAAGATCTCCACGAAAACCACATCCATGCTCTAGCATTTCAGCCTTTAGAAAACGTCGATTACTTAAAATTAGTGACTGTGGGAGGGGATAAGAAATTCAACGTCTTGCATTTGACGGAAACTGAGACGGCCAACAGTAAGTGGGAGTGGTTTAACTTAATAAAATCTTGATGCGCATGCGTACTATACTTACTTTGTGCTTTTACAGGTAAAAGCGAAATATGGATGGGTCTGTGGGTTGGTTTCTACCACGATTTACCCTGCAAAGATCTCTCCTTTTCCATTGACGGCTCTCTGGTCGCTGTTACTTTTGGTAATACTGTAACTACGTGGTTGCCGGATCATGGCGATCTGAAGTGTGTTTTGAGCCACCCTATGTGTAAGAAAGACATTACTCATGTGGAGTTTGGGACTAGTAATCAGTGTCATCTTCTTGTGGCTGCTAGCAGTGAGAGACTTTGTGTGTGGAATTTGTTGACGTTGACGATGGTGTGGACTGTGCCGGTTAATGTTTCTATTTTGATTGCGGACACGGTGACTACGAATATGGCGATTATAACGAAAGATAATATGGGTAGATTTGTTTTATTGTTGTTGTTGTTGTTGTGATTGTTATTAATGATTATTTTTAGTGTTTGTGTTTGCCCCAATATCACCTGAGCCGGTTTTTTCAAGTGATAAGTTGTTGAAGAAGTCGGGAAGTATTTATGCGGCGGCTTTTGTTCCGAGTAGGCAGAGTAATGATACGAAGTTGCAGTGGTATCGAAGGTCGCCGATTTTCGTACTGGATGCTAAGAAGGTATTGTCTTCGAAAAAAAAGAAAAAAAAAACGCACTAAATGTATAATCAAGAACTGTACAGATTTTTTCAAGGGTTTAAGTATCCGGAAAATTTTGAATAAGTTAAGTCAGCTTACTACTTAAATCACGTGGCAACGTCGCAGTCAAAGGTCTGCAAAATAAAAAGTGGGCGGAGGTTATTTCGTCAGAATTTTCCGCGCCCCTGAAGTACAGCCCAACAAATCCTGCTTCTTTGAAAATGTATATACATTTTTTTGGCATTTTTTATTCTGGTCACCTCTATAACGTTAAAACCATTCCCGCAGCTGTTTTGACTTCAATTTTTCAATTCTTAGATTTTTCAATTTTTTTATTTATTCAGCTTTTCGATTTACATTTTTTCGATTTTCAAATTTAAATTTTTGAGTTCAATTTTCCAACTTTTGAATTTTTACATTTTGGAATTTTGCGGTTTTTCATTTCTTGAATTTTTAGATTTGCAATTTTTCGTTTCGGTTTTTTATTTTCTTTATTTTTACAACTTTTGGATTAATTAATGTTACGATTTTATAATTTTTTGTTTTTTTCAGTTTCAGTTCGTTCAATTTTTCGTTTCGTCAATATTTTGACTGCAATATTACAATTTTTATTTTTTTTTGTTTCTTCAATTTGTAACTCTTCGAGTTTTGCAACTTTGGTTATTTCAATTTTTTATTTTGTAATTTTTCGATTTACAGTTTCACGAGTTTTCAATTTTTCGATTTTTCAATTTTCCATTTCTTCAGTGCTTCGAATTGCATTTTTTCGTTTCGGTTTCTCATTTTCTTTATTTTGTCAATTTTTCCATTTTTCAGTGTTCTGTTTTTGAAGGTGAAATTTTTCGGTTTTTCAACTTTTACATTTTTTAATTTTTTGTTTTTTTCAATTTTAGATTTTTCAGTTTCTCGATTGTTCAGTTTTTCGTTTCTTCAATTTTTCTAATTGTCATTTTAAAAATGCAATAATAATTATGATTTTTAAAATTTACGACTATAAATTTTACGGCTTTTGAATGTCTATTTTTCGATTGTTAATTTTTGAATTGATTGATTGATTGAATTTCTCGATATTTGATTTTTCTATTATAATTTTTGTGTTTTCCAATTTTTCGATTAGATTCGTTTTTTCTTCTTTCCAATTTTTCGATACAATAATTTTTTTCGATTTTCAAGTTCAATGTATGTATTAATTTTGCGTTTCTTCAGTTCTTCGATTTGTAATTTTTCGCTTTTTCTATTTTTTCCGATTTTTAATTTAACTTTTCGAATCAAAAAAATGAAAGAATTGCAAAATTGTACAATCGAAAATGAAGAAACGAAAAAGCATAAAATGAAAATATCGAAAAATCTAAAAATGGGAATTGAAGAGCTTGAGAAATTGAAGAACGAAAAATCGGATAATTGAAAAATTCAAAAATTGCAAAATTGAAAAATTTCAAAATCCGAATATCGAGGAATTTAAAAATCAAAATTTTACAATTTCAGAAGTTTTCAATTTTTTATTTTTCAATTTTTCATTTTGTTATTTTTATTGATTCGATTCGTTTTTTCTTGTTTCAAATTTTTCGATCAATTATTATTTCTCGATTTTATAAGTTTTTCAATGTTTCAATTTTCCGTTTCGGTTTTTTATTTCTTCATTTTTACAATTTTTCGATTTTTCAATGTTACGATTTTAGAATTTTTTGTTTTTTTCAGTTTCAATTTTTTCAATTTTTTGTTTCTTTCATTTTTCGGTTGCAATATGTATTACAATTTTTCATTTTTTTGTTTCTTCAACTTTACGATTTGTAACTCATCGAGTTTTCCAACTTTTGGATATTTCGATTTTTAGATTTTGCAATTTTTCGATTTACAGTTTTGAATATTTGATTTATAAATTTTTCGAGTTTTCAATTTTCCATTTCTTAATTTCTTAATTTTTTCGAAATGCAATTTTTCGTTTTCTTTATTTTTTCAATTTTTCGCGTTTCTAGTCTTCTGATTTAAAAATATTTTTCTTTCTTTTATGGATGAAATTTTTCAATTTTTGGATTTTTCAATTTTCGGTTTCCACTTTTTCGGTTTTTCAACTTTCACATTTTTTAATTTCTTGTTTTTTAAATTTTTCGTTTTTTCAATTTTTGGGTTTTCCAATTTTTCGATTCGATTCGTTTTTTCCTTTCCAATTTTTTGAATCAATTTTTTTTCGATTTTTAGGTTTCTCGATGTTTAGTTTTTCAATGTATTAATTTTGCAATTTTGCATTTCTTCACTTCTTCTATTTGCAAGTTTTCAACTTTTCAATTTTTCTGATTTTTTAGTTTTTCGATTGCAAAATTGTAAAATCAAAAATGAAAAAGTATAAAGTGAAAATATCGCAAAATCTAAAAATTGGAAATCAAGAGCTTGAAAAATTGAAGAAACGGAAAATCGGATAATTAAGAAATCCAAAAATTGAAAAATTTCAAAATTCGAATATCGAGGAATTGAAAAATTAAAGATTTACAATTTCACGAGTTTTCAATTTTTCGATTTGTCAATTTTCCGTTTCTTTATTTTTTCGTTTTGGTTTTTCATTGTCTTTATTTTATCAATTTTTCGCTTTTTCAGTGTTCTGATTACATTTTTTTTTATTTTTTCACGGTGAAATTTTTCAATTTTCGGTTTTTCAGTTTTTACGTTTTTTAATTTTTTGTTCTTTCAATTTTAGGTTTATCAGTTTTCTCGATTTTTCAATTTTTCGTTTCTTCAATTTTTGATTTTGAATTTTTCTAATTGTCAATTTAAATATGTAATAATAATTATTATGATTTTCCGCTTTTTCAATTTTACGGTTTTAAAATTTTTCCATTTTTCATTAATTCGATTTTTCAATGTTGCAGTTTTTCAACTTTACAATTTTCACGATTCCATGTTTCGATTTTACAATTTTTGGGTTTTTCAATTTTTCGATTCGATTCGTTTTTTCTTGTTTCCAATTTTCCGATTAATTATTTTTTCCCGGTTTTGTAAGTTTATCGATTTTTAGTTTTTCAATTTTTTCAATTTTTCGTTTCTTCAGTTCTTCAATTTTCCATTTTTTCGATTTTTCAATCTTTCGAATTGCAATTTTTCTTTTCGGTTTTTATTTTCTTTATTTTTTCCATTTTGCATATTTTCAAAGTTCCGATTTTAAGATTTTTCGTTTTTTTAATGTGAAATTTTTCAGTTTATCGGTTTTTCACCTTCTACATTTTTTAATATTACGTTTTTTTAATTTTAAAGAGTATTTAGTTTTTCGTTTTTTCAATTTTTGATTTGCAATTTTCCTAGTTGTCATTTTAAATATGTAATAATAATTAGAATTTTAATTTTACAATTTTAAAATTTTTCCATTTTTCAGTTTTTCGATTTTTCAGTGTTTGAGTTTTTCGACTTTTCAGTTTTGATATTCCTATAATTTCTCGATTTTACAATTTTTGAGTTTTTCAATTTTTCGATTCGATTCGTTTTTTCTTCTTTTCAATTTTTCGACTCATTATTTTTTCTCGATTTTATAAATTTTTAGTTTTTCACTCTTTCAATTTTTCGTTTCTTCAATTTTTGATTTGCAGTTTTTCTAATTGTCATTTCAAATATGTAATAATAGTATTATAATTTTAAACATTTTCCACTTTTTATATTTTTACGATTTTAAAATTTTTCCATTTTTCATTTATTCGATTTTGGAATTTTCCGATTTTTCAATGTTCCAGTTTTTCGACTTTACAAATTTGGCGATTCTATAATTTTTCGATTTTTCATTTCTTCAGATTTTCGAATTCCAATTTTTCGTTTCGGTTTTTCATTTTCTTAAGTTTATCAATTTTTTGCTTTTTCTATATTCTGATTTTAAAATTTTTCAATTTTGTTCAATGTGAAATTTTTCAATTTTTGGATTTTCCAATTTTTCGTTTCTTCAGTTTTTGATTTGCAATTTTTCTTTTGATTTTAAATATGTAATAATAATTGTAATTTTTAAAATTTTTCACTTTTCCAATTTTACGATTTTAAACTTTTTCCATTTTTCATTCGATTTTACAGTTTTTGTGTTTTCTAATTTTTCGATTCGATTCGTTTTTTCTTCTTTCCATTTTTTGATTAATTATTTTTTCTAGATTTTTAATTTTTCAATTTATTCAGTTTTTCGCGTCTTCAGTACTTCGATTTGCATTTTCGATTTTCAACTTTTCGAATAAAAAAAAATGGGAAAATACAAAAATGTAAAACTGAAAAATCAAAAATGAAAAAACGAAAAAGTATAAAATAAAAGTTTTGAAAAATCTAAAAATTGGAAGTCAAGAATTTGAAAAACTGAAGAAACGAAAAATTGAAATATTGAAAAATTAAAAATTGAGAAACTTGAAAGTCAAAAAAGTGCAAAATCGAAAAAATTAAATATGGTAAAATCGAAAAATTGTGATATAAAATCGAGAAAACAAAATTAAAAAATCGGAAAATGAAAAATTAAACTCAAAAACTGGAAAAATTGAGGAAACGGGAAATTGAAAAATCGAAAAATTAAATATTGAGAAACTGAAAAATCGAAAATGAAATATTGAAGAAACGCAAAATTCGAAAAATTTGGAAGTCGCGGAATTAAAAAATTAAAAACATTAATTAGAATCTTCGGCTTTGGGAATTTCTCTAGAACTTTTAGAATCTTTCAAGCATTCGAAACAGAATTTTAGAAAGGTCCTTAGAGTCTCTAGACCCTTCAGAGTCTTTAAAATCTTTAGTCTTTAGGTTCTTTAGAGTCTTTCCAATCTATGGAAATTTTAAAGATTTTGTTGAATGTTTTTTATATTTAGAACATTAGAACTTTAGTTTATTTGGAATCTTATAGTTAAGGAAACGACAAAATTGTGATATCAAAAAATTGTAAAATCGAAGAAAAAGGTAAAGGTGTGACCAGATTTTTGGAAAAATGATAAGATTTGATTTTGCGAATTTTATTTTTTCGTGGTAACATTTCTACGTGAAAATAAAGACGTGTATGTAATGTTAAAGTAACTGTAAATTTAAACACCACTGTATTCCAAAATTTTCGGGAAAATAGAGTGAGTCGTTCTTGATTTTAATCTAGCATTTTCTGCTATAGGAAAACTTTAAAATTAGGATACTTTTTAATGTTTAACATATTCGTGAAAAATTATCTACTAAATTTGAACTACTTAATAACAATTATTAAATTGATATAAGCCAAAAATCACTGAAAATATTTTGAAAATTTGGCTATAAACTTTCTCTTATTTTATCTTAACTTATGTGTTTTCGTAGGAGTTATTTAGTCTGGGTTGTGATGAAGAAAATTTGGATACTCCCAGAGAAATACAAGAAATATCCAAATCATTGTTCAGCATGACAATTCCACAGTCCCAGACTGATAAAAATAAAAGCACGAAGTCAGTGGAACACTTATATTTAAAAGACATAGGAGAGAAGAATATGAAAAAGGTATTTATTTTCAAAAACACTTTAAAAATAATAGTAAACTAGTGTTTCATAATGATGTATATAGCAATCTCTGCAATAATTTGCTCATTACTTATATAATAATACAATATAATTTGTCCGTTTCAGTACCTGGAAGCCCCCATCCAAACTATGATTCCTGTAAGAATCATGTGCAGGACACTTTTGACGTCAATGGTCCTGCAGAAACCTTGATAGTGCAAGTGTATAACTGGTTGCCTACTTTTTTTTTTTAAACAAATCAATAAAACCGTAATTACAGATTGTACTTTTTATCTTGTTTTCTTTATCCATTGTCGCAATTTCGTAACCCATTACTCTTACGCAAGAGCACCATGACCCACGAAATCGTCACATCCCCCCGCACCGCCAAGTCGCCTCCCGTCAAAATTCCCAAAAATGAAAAAATCCTGACATGTGACCGTCCCCAAATTTGAAATTTCGTGCCCATCACAACCCATCGCGCTAAAATTATCGTCGTGTGAAAAGGGCGTCTTCGCGTAATTATAGTGCGTGCCGCTCCCGTGGCATGCGCGCCCGCACTACATCTAGTGCGTTTAGGGGGGGTTATTTTCGAAGCACGTGCTAAACAAAATGTTCCTGTCGTTGTAAAATACCGTACCGTTGAACATTTTTTAAATAACGAACGTGAAACGGAATCCTCTTGAATTGAATAAATAAGAATCGTGCGACGAACGTTGAGTGCATAAAATGGCTCTTGGTGCAGCGGTGAACGATTCCGAGCCGAAGACCAACAATAACCTAGACGGCGCAATCGACAAAGTGAATAAAAGTGAGCCCGGAGATGCGAAAATAGCAGGTTAGTGGCGAATCGGGGGGCCGTGGGGGCCGCAAAACCCCTCGCCGGCGATTATTACGACATCGTTACGTAATCCGGCGAGGTTGGAAAAGCGGCCGTTTTGGGGTTATGGGGGGCTGTCGGGTGATAGAGGGCCGCGGGGTGGGGAGGACAGTGTCGGCTGATAAATTTTCTGATTTACAATGGAGATTTATTGATGAACTTGGACCTTGCCTCTTTTGTAAGCCGGTATGCTATTTGCAAGAAGTGGTACATGGAGCTCGCGGTGGATTCTTATCATTTCGGCCTTTTTTGTCCTATTGTGCAGTGTCATTCTTGTTTGAAGATCGAGAATGTTGAGGATTTTAACGCCGGATGTTTGCTGGGGGCATTCACCCCTTTTGCTATCTGATTACATTGACAGTGTGTTGAGTAATAAATTTTAGGGAAAATTTCAAGGTGGAGAGAATTGGGAAGATTCATGTCTTAACCTTTTCGTGTCATTCGGACCAAATTAATTCACAATATTTTGTGAGGTTATAGGGAATTCTTGAAAACTAGAATGTTTTCACATCAAACATCATGAGTCAAGGAGTTTCCAGTAAGAGAAAGAGAAGAAAATTATACATTTTTTGAATTAATGGGTTAAGTTAACATATTAATATACCTTGTCTGCGCATGTGCGCATAGTCAACTTTACTCAGTTGTAATTAAACTCACCTAAGGTACTGATACGGTTTATGTGTCTCTGACCTTCTAATACGACTTTAAATTTAGGGTGAATGCAACTTGTATCATGGAAATAAAAAAGGATTTTTTTCGTGCCATATGTTAAATGAGTTGAATCTAAAACAAGTTATTTAAAATACCCATAATTTGAACTAATTAATGCAGTGTTTAGTAGACTATCGGAGATTTGTACTTAAAATTTTTTCTGATTTTTGTAGTTTTATCTAGTTAATAAATTATATTGACGATAATTTTTTCAACGCCTAATAAAAATTGCTCCAGTGTAAGTTTCAAATCTGATTGATACACTATCTGGTATACAGATACTTTCGTGAAAGTAAAATGTAGGGTTAATACGACTTTGTTCAGTGTTTGGTGACTTCTAAGCTTCGGTAGAGTATCTACAATTTTCAGTTCACTTCCTTTTATTTTGTGTTTTAAGCTCCTTTAAGGTTAAATTTACATAAATATGTTCCTCGGGTAGGGTTTGCTTTATTTATTGTTTAATTATTTCCACTACAGAAAAGCATGTTTACTTTAAATAAATTAGGTAATGAATTATATTATCGCGCTAATCAGGTAATAATTATCATAATTTAGAGACAGTTCAAAGTCATAGATAATAGTAGCTTGGATCACATTATAATACATAATTAATACAAATTTGACCCCTAAAATCGTGGATGATATGTCTATAATTAACTACTGTGGTGTCAAGAGAGTTATAACGATTGTTATAATTAAAACCTGTAAATAGTGCTGTCATATTTTAAAATTTATTGTTAAAAATAAACGTTGTTTTAAGTTGTTCTTGAAAAAAAAAATGGTATAAGAAGGGTTTGTTTCAAATGCCATGATGGATGAATTTTGAATATTACTTTACAATCGTAAAATATTAAGGTGCTAGTCAGTTGAAAAAAAAAAAAAATTGAAAAAGTAGTTTTTATTTTCGTAGCTAAGGAACTATTGTAATCAGACATGAATAGGTAGTTTCGTATTTTTGGGACGTATCATGATCTCTAGTATGAAACAATGGATCTCCCGTTTCCGTCTGTTTGTCTACTAACTAATAAAACTACTACGCTAACCAATTTTTCGTTTTTTCAAGTTTTACATTGTGAATATTTCGTTTTTTCAATTTTAGAGATTTTTCAGTTTCTCGTTTCTACAATTTTAGATTTACAATTTTTCAAATTGGCATTTTAATTAAATATGTAATAATTATTAGAATTTTTAAAACTTTCCCCTTTTTCAACTTTACGATTTTAAAATTTATTCTATTTTTGAATTTTTCGATGTTTCAGTGTCATAGTTTTTTGACTTTACAAATTTGACGACTCTATAATTTTTCGATTTTTTATTTTTTCATTCCTTCAGTTTTTCGAATTGCAATTTTTCTTTTTTTCCTATATGAAATATTTCAATTTTTAGATTTTTCAATTTTTCGTTTCTTCAATTTTTGATTTGTAGTTTTTCTAATTGTCATCTACAACTTTGACGATCCTATAATTTTTCGATTGTACAATTTTTGGCTGTTCCAATTTTTCGATTCGATTCGTTTTTTCTTTTTTTCAATTTTTTGATTCATTATTTTTTCTCGATTTTTAGTTTTTCACTGTTTCGATTTTTCGTTTCTTCAATTTTTGATTTGCAATTTTTCTAATTGTCATGTCAAATATGTAATAATAATTATAATTTTAAGTTTTCCATTTTTCATGTGTTCGATTTTTGATGTTACGATTTTTCAATGTTACAGTTTTTCCAAATTTGACGATTCTATAATTCTTAAATTTTGAATTTTTTTATTTTTTTCATTTCTTTCTTTGTAGAATTGTAATTTTTTATTTCGGTTTTTCATTTTCTTAATTTTTTCAATTTTTGCTTTTCCAGTGTAGTGATTTTAAAATTTTTCGGTTTACAATTTTTGTTTTTCAACTTTTTACATTTTTTATTATTATTTTTTTTTAATCAAAAAGTATCTGTTTATCAACCCCAATTCCGGGGGTGATGTCAAAATGTGCTTTTGGGTTTTACGATTTCTCAGTTTTGTTTTTTCTTAATTGTTCCCTTCTTCAATATTCGAATCTTCAATTTATTTCTTTTTCGATTTTTAGATTGTCAGTTTTTCCGTGCTCTAGTTTTTAAGTCGAAAAATCTAAAAATCGAAACATCGAAATCTGGATAATTCGGAAAATCAAAACATGATACAACTCAAAAATTGAAAAATTGAAAAACCAAAAACCGGAAAATCAAAAAACGAGAAATCGAAGAAATTAATATAACAAAAAATTGAAGAATCACAATAATTGAAAACTGAGATATCGAAAAATTGCAAAATCCAGAAATCGAAAAGTCTAGGAGAATCGAAAATCGAAAAATTGAGCAATGGAGAAATGGGAAGATCAAAATATCGAAAAATCGAAAAGTTGGGAAGTCGGAAAAATCAGAAGTCGAAAAATTACATAATCGAAAAATCAATTGATCAAAAGATCGAAAATTTTTCGGTTTCTCGATTTCTCGTTATTTCGATTTTTCGACTTTTCGATATTGCAAATTTTCAATTTTCGAAATTTCGAATTTCCGATTTTTCCATTTATTGAATTTTCGGTCTTTCGAAATTAGATTTTTTAATTTATTTCCTTTTCGATTTTTCGATTTTCTGTTTTTCAATTCCTCGCTTTTTCAAACTTTCGAATTTTCGCATTCTCGATTTTTCCATTTTTCCATTCTTCAGTTCGTAGACTTTTCAATTTTTTTATTTTTCGATTTTCAGTTTTTCCGTTCTTAGTTTTTAAGACGAAAAATTGAAAAATCGACAAATCTAAAAATCAAAACATCGAAATCTGGATAATTCGAAAAATCGAAAAATGATAAAACTGAAAAAATGTGAAATTTTAAAACCAGAAAATGGAAACATCGAAAACCGAAAAATCAAAAAACAAAAATCGAAGAAATTAACATAACAAAAAAATGAAGAATCACAATAATGAAAAATCTCAAACTTGAAAAAGAAAAACTGAGATATCGAAAAATTGCAAAATCCAGAAATCGAAAAGTCGAAGAGAATCGAAAATCGAAAAATTGAGCAATGGAGAAATGGGAAAATCAAAATATCCAAAAATCGAAAAATCTAATAGTCAAAAGGTCGAGGAGTCGAAAAATCAAAAAGCCGAAAAATTGAGCAATCGAGGACTGGGAAGATCAAAATATCGAAAAATCGGAAAGTCGGGAATTCGGAAAAGTCAGAAATGGGAAAATCGAATAATTACAAAATCGAAAAATCAATTGATCGAAAAATCGAAAATTTTTCGGTTTCTCGATTTCTCGTTATTTCGATTTTTCGACTTTTCGATGTTGCAAATTTTCAATTATCGAAATTTAGAATTTCGATTTCTCCATTTATCGAATTTTCGGTCTTTCGAAATTAGATTTTTCAATTTATTTCCTTTTCGATTTTCTGTTTTTCAATTCCTCGCTTTTTGAAACTTTCGAATTTTCGCATTCTCGATTTTTCCATTTTTCCATTCTTCAGTTCGTAGACTTTTCAATTTTTTTATTTTTCGATTTTCAGTTTTTGGGTTCTTTAGTTTTTAAGACGAACAATTGAAAAATCGAGAAATCTAAAAATAAAAAAATCGAAATCTGGATAATTCGAAAAAATGATAAAACTGAAAAATGGAAAAATTTTGAAACCAGAAAATGGAAACATCGAAAACCGAAAAATCAAAAAACGAGAAATCGAAGAAATTAACATAACAAAAAATTGAAGAATCATAATAATGGCAAAATCCAAATTGAAAAAGAAAAACTGAGATATCGAAAAATGGAAAAATCGAGAAATCGCGAAATTGAAAAGCCGAGACGCTGAAACATCGAAAAATTGAGCAATGGAGAAATGAGAAAATCAAATATCCAAAAAGCGAAAAATGTAATAGTCAAAAGGTCGAGAAGTCGAAAAATCGAAAAGCCGAAAAGTTGAGCAATCGAAGAATGGGAAGATCAAAATATCGAAAGGTCGAGAAGTTGGAAAAGTCGAAAAATCACAAAATCGGAAAATCAATTGATAAAAAAATCGAAAATTTACAACCACCAAAAATTGGAATATTCAAAAATCGAAAAATTTTAAAATCGAGGAAAAATTGAAGAATAGAAAACTGGAACATCGAAAAACTGAGATAGGGGAAAATTAAAAAATCGAGAAATCGAAAAGTCGAGAAACAATCGAAAATATGAAAATCGAAAAACTGGGAAGTCGAGACACCGACACACGGAAAAATTGAGAAAATATCGAAAAATCAAAACATCTAATAGTCGAAAAATCGAGAAGTTGAAAATCGGGGAATCGAAAAGTCGAAAAATCAAAAAATTGAAAAATTGGTTGATTAAAAAATTGAAAATTTAGAAACACCAAACAGCGGAATATTAAACAATCGAAAAATTGAAAAATCGTAAAACTGAAATATCGGAAAATAGGGAAATCGAAAAATAAAATAATCGAGAAATTTTCAAAATTTCGAATTTTCAATTTTTCCATTTATTGAATTTTCGGTCTTTCGATATTCGATTTTTTCTAATTTCGACCTACTTGACTTGAGACCTGATTGGTTGAATTTTCTATTTTTCAATATTCGAATTTTCAATTTCTTTGCTTTTCTATTTTTCGATATTCGAGTTTTGCAATTTTTTGTATTATTTCGCTTTTGAATTTTTTAATTTTTCGATTTAAATTTTTTTTATTTCTTCAGTTTTCCGTTTCTCAGTGTTTCGTGTCTTAAATTTTCGATATGCAATTGTGCGATTTTATAAGTTTTCAATTTTCCGATTTCAAGAGGCACATTTTAATTTTTCGATATTTCATGTTCTGGATTGTTGATTTTTGATTTTCCAGCTTTTGAATACTATTATTTTTAAATTTTTCGAATGTGAAGTTTATCGATTCTTCAATTTTATAATTCTGCAATTTTTGGACTTTTTAATTAGTTTACAATTTATCTTTTTTAAATTTTTCGAATTTTTTATTTTTAAATATTTTTATTTTTCTTTTATCCGATTTTTACGTTTTTCAATTTTTGAATTTTTCAAGTTCTCAATTTTGGGGTTTTTCCATATTTCACTTTTTCTGATTTTTTGTTTTCAATGTTTTGTTTTTGCGATTTTTCGATCTTTCAATGTCACAATTTTTCAATTTTACAGGTTTTCGTCTTTTCATTTCAGTTGTCCAATTTTTCACTTTTTCTATTTTTGATTTTTTCTTTTCAATTTTTCCAGCTTTCAAGTTTTCAATGTTACAAGTTTGTAATTTTTCTGTTTTATTTTCTCGAGTTTGAATTTTTCTTTTTTTTCAATTTAAAATTTTTTTTGTTTTTCCATTTTCAATTTTTCAACTTTAGAATTATGCAGATTTCCATTCCTCGATTTATAAATTTTCAAATTCTCCCTTTTCAGTTTCTCAATTTTTTCATGTTTTAATGTTTCAATTTTCCGATTTTACAATTTTTCGATTTTTAATCTTTTTGACCAAGTCAATGTATATATTTTATTGATTAAACCAAAAAGCGCAAAACTGAATACTTTGAAATATTACAAAATTTTGCCGAAAAAACGTTATTTTAATGTCATAAAATAACATACTCCTGCACTTGTGGTTTATGAATCCGTGTTAAATTTTTTCCTTAGACAGCCACATTTTTAGAAAAAAAAACATCCAAGCACGGTAAATCGTAATGAAGTTTATAAAAATATATAATAAAAAACATTGAGGTTATCATAAAAAATTCAAAATCGATTTTTACAATTCTTCAAAAAATCGGGATTTGTTGGACTGTATTTCAGGGGCAAGGGAAGTTCTGTCAAAATAATTTTCGACCAATTTTTATCAATGAGTCAAAAATGTAAAAATCCAAAAATACTGAGGAATAGCTAAACTTTTCCGTTAATTTCAAAATTAATTACTCTTGGACTTGTGATTTATTAATCCGCGTTGAGTTTTTACCCCAGACATTCGAATTTTTGAAAAAAAAAAATCAAAAATAAAAGTTGTCTGGTAAGCCATGAAATCTACTTTTAAAATAATGACATTGCAGACAGTTGTTTGACAGTTATTAAATGTCAAACTGATTAATGCGAATAAGAAGAGTGTTGATATTGCCAACATTTTTTTTTAATTTAATAAAAAAATTAAACAAAAAAGTAAAATAAGATAAGATAAATTCCGACCAGAAGAGCAGCAATAAATTATATGGGTGATCGACAAAGTAGATAAATAAACGCAAGTCAATATAATTTGTAAAGATTTATTGATTCTTGAACTTGTTAGACTGAAGCTCATTGCAGGACCGTTCGTTTTTTATTTTAATCCTGCTGTCGTTCTTGTTTGACGACGGGAGTGTTGAGGATTTTGAAATAGGTTGTTTACCAGGGGCATTCACCCTTGTAGCCATCTATTTCATTGAGCGTAACAGCGAGAGAAATCTCGTATAATTGGATAATAAATTTTAGGCAAACTTCCAAGGTGCACAGAATTGATGAAAGGAGTTACTACTTTTGTTTTTTTCTCTCTCAAAAAAATTGGTAATCAATAAATACACAATTTAAGATTAAGTAAATGTAATGTACCTCTCATCTACCTACCAAGTTGCTTTTTTAGCATAAAATTGAATAATACGTAAAATCTGAACACTTATCACTGTAAATTTATCTCCAAGCGGTTATAAATCAAATTCTGTTCGAGATAATAAAACTTCTGAGCATATTTAACTTTGGTTATCTAAAAGTGCAAATAATAACGCATTCAATTTTTATCATAGGCGAAAATGTGAAAGTAGAAGTTAAGTAACATTAGCTGGAAGTAATTGTTTAAAAATTTGTGTATTTTTGCATTTAATTGCAGTAATTAGTTAGGTTTGGGAAAGGTGAGAGACATTCTTACGTGAAGATTATTACATATTTTGAGTATATGGATTATTAGCCAGAACAGTAGGGCGAAAAACAAGTTTTTTTGTAGTCAAGGCAGTCAACAACATTTATTTTCTTCCGGGTTGACATTTGGAGTGGAAAATATGAAACTCACCAAACAAAATAGTTTCTTCAGATTCGTTTTACTTAGTTGTAATGAAACACCACCAGCGTAAATCCAGGTGATGTCGCGGTCGTGACTTCAAATTTTGAGCAACAAAAAATAATTCAATTTGACTGGATTTGGATGTTTCAGAAGTTACGCAACGCAAATGACGCCATACCAACAAACTGATTTAACAAATATATGTTTTAATTTGAATATTAACAGGTTTACAAACTATGTTTATCGGAAAAATAATGAATTGCAATCGGTTGTTTACAGAGCGATTTCTTACCTATGCTACGTTTTGAGAACAAAAATAACGTTTTACGATACTTGTAATAGTTCATTAAAATTTAACATGTTTCAACATTCACTGGGTTATAGGCCATTTACATTGTTGAATGGAAATAAATCTCTCAAAAGAAATAATTTGTTTAACAATTAGACCTTAGTTTTGACTTTCAAATGAAGCATATTTTTCATTCCTCTTGTAACGTGATAATTCTGAGAAAACAAGATTATTATCATGTGGAGAAGTGTCTTGAATAACAGAATGGACTTGTCTGTTTGCGAAATAATGAGTCCGAGTAAAAATAGTACTCGTCCAAGGAATAATTAATAAAATTGTTGGACTATATCCAGTCGTAATTATTTCCCTTTAAACTTTTATTTTTTTCTAGTTCTGGAAAAGTGTGTTCTGGTGGAATGAAATATTGCTACTGAAATATGTGCGCACCAATGAGAATTATTAATTAATTGTATTAATAATGAACTGAGCAAAGTCCGTCAGGTGGACCATTAAATGATCGTGACTTTCATTTTTGTAATAGATATAATACGTAAGAACTGATTATAATTTTTAATTTCATTTATTTTAAAACAACGTGTTTTATTTTATATTTTTGTCAAAGGAAGTCGGCAAATTGGATTTTTGCTGTTGAAACTATTTGTCCAATTTAAACAAAACTCGCTAACTGTTGATGTAATTAGAGGAAATGCAAATATAGCGCGAAACTTGTCCTAATTCGGGATGTTTTTTGTCACAATTTGCTGAGTAAGTACTTACTTCAAGGTAAAAACGGAGTACCGAAATTAATCATTCATGATATGGCCACAGGGTAAATAAACGTGTATTTTTGGCTCAGTTATCATGATTTACACAATAGTAAAAACAATATCGGGTGCAATATTTCACGTGTCAATATTTTTATCTTTTCCAGTTAACGGAGACAGCGAAAATGTTGGCGCCAAAACTCCGTTACAAAATGGACACGCGGACGTCAGTCCAGGTACGAAAATAGCACTTTATCGCCTCCATCCACACCTAACCCTTTTTTCAGAAAAACAAACCAAAGACGCCGAAGAAACGGAGAAGAAAGAGGACGAAGCCAAGGGTAAAGATGAAGTCGTGTTTATCCAAGACATCGGTTTCTCCGTAAAAATCGTGAGTCCCGGTGTGGAACCCTTCGATATTCAAGTTTCTAGCGTGGAACTAGTCCAAGAAATCCATCAACTCTTAATGGACAGAGAAGACACTTGTCATCGAACATGTTTTTCGCTTCAACTAGACGGCAACACTTTAGACAACTTCGCCGAACTGAAAAACATCGAAGGTTTGAAAGAGGGTTCAGTGATCAAAGTGGTCGAAGAACCCTACACCATGCGCGAGGCACGAATCCACGTCAGACACGTCCGAGATTTACTCAAGAGTCTGGACCCAGCGGACGCTTACAACGGAATCGAGTGCAATTCTTTAAGTTTCTTGAACACGGTGACTCAGGGAGATATTTTAGAGAAGAAGAAAATGCGGCCGGAGAGCGTCGATTGCACCCCTCCGGACTACATAATGCCGGATAGCAAAGATCGACCCTTGACGGCGCTCCAGCCCCAACTCAAAGACCAGAAGGTGGCGCAGTGCGTCAAGGTGCTGACCACCTCGGCGTGGAACCCGCCACCGGGGTACAGGAAGATCCACGGCGACTTGATGTACCTGTACGTGGTTACGTTGGAGGATAAGCACTATTACATATCTGCGTGTTCGAGGGGGTTCTATATTAACCAGTAGGTGACGGTAATGTTCGTCGAGGTCGTATTAAGGGGGTTGTTCTAGGTCCACCGCTGAAGAGTTTAATCCTAAACCTGCTACGCCTAGTCATTTGTGCCATTCGTTGATCGAGCTTTTGAACCAGATTTCGCCGCAGTTCAAGCGGAATTTCGCGCTGTTGCAGAAGAAGAGGAGTCAGAGGCATCCGTTCGAGAGGGTGGTGACACCCTATCAGTTGTATTCGTGGACGGCGCCGCTGATGGAGCACACGATTGATGCCATTAGAGCTGAAGATAGTGAGTTGTTTGTGGAGATTGTTGGCGTGACGTCAAAGTTAAATGCGCGGGGTCAAAGTGTGTAGATGATTGATTAATGGATGGGCAATGATTCATTTTGATTCGGAGGGATTGGAATGTTGTAGCGTGGAAAGGTCATTTTGTGATTGATGACTGATTAATTTGGTAATGACGTGGAGTGAAAATAATGTAGGAGGTGCGAATGTTCAAGCGCACCCTGTATTTGTTTTTAGTTGAAAAATGTACCTCCAGGGTTCAATCAAAACATCACTTAGTTTTTTTTAATTAAACACCCCTTATATTTTTACGTATTTTGATTGACTTCTTACGCTTTATAATCGCAGTTTACTTTTCAAATTCCGATGCGACGTTGCCACGTTATTCCAATTTGCTTGAAATTTTTTGGCAATTGGAAGGGGTAAAAAAGTCGCAATAGGGATATAAGACTGTCTTACAATATTTTATGGAAGCATACTTAAATAAGCTGAACCAAACTGATACCGGTGTAACGAAAAATAATTAACAAAGACCTATAAGCTAAGGAAGGATTGTAATCCATTTGTGGTTTATGAATCCGTGTTGAGTTTTACAATTTTACAGTATCAATCTTATTTCAGTGTTAAAAACTAACGTAATCCTGAACTTGTAGTTTCTGAATCCGTGTCGAATTTTTATCCGAGACATCGAAATTTTTCGGAAAAAAATCTAAATTGCAGATATAAAAAAGTTTTGATTCGTCAATTTTTCATTTTCTCAATTTTTCTATTACTCAGTTTTTCGATTCTTCAAATTTTCGGTTTCTCAATTGTTTTATTTTTAGGTTTCTTAATTTTCCGATGTTTCAGTTCAACTTTTGACGTTTTTAAATTTTTAATTTTTCGATTTCTGAACTATCCATTTTTTAATTTCTCGATTTCTAATTTATCGATTTTTAAGTTGTTTCGTTTTTTAATTTTTAGTTATTCGACTTTTAGAATTTTTCAATTGTTTACTTTTTTAATTTTTCAATTTATCTATACATATTTTCATTTATCCATTTTTAAAATTTTAGATTTTTTCATTCCCCGACTTTTTATTTCTTGTATTTTTCTATTTTTCGAATCTTTAAATTTTCGGTTTTTCATTTTTTTGATCCGATTTCTTGATCTCAATTTTAGGTTTTTGTGCTTTTCAGTTTTTTGATTTTAAAAATTTCTGACTTCGATTTTTTAATTTTTCAGTTTTCAAATTTTTCGATTTTTCAGTTTTTTGATTTCTCAATTTTTCGATTTTTCATTTTATCGTTTTTATTTATATTTCTTAATCTTTTGATGTTTCTATTTTTCCATATTTCAGTTTCTGAATTTTTCGATGTTTCGATTTTTCGCTTTCCAAATCTTTCATTGTTTCAGTTTTGGAATTTTTCGGTTTGTCGATTTTTCAGTTTTTCGAATACTCAATTTTTCCATATTTTAGTGTTGAGATTTTTCGATTTTTTCATTTTTAGGTTTCTTAATTTTCCGATGTTTCAATTCAATTTTGGTGTTTCTAAATTTAAAATTTTTCGATTTCTCAATTTCTGATTTATCGATTTTTTTATTTTTCCATTGCCCTATTTCTCGACTTTTCAATGTTTTCTATATTTCAATTTTTCATTTCTTTAATTTTTTGACTTTTTAGGTTTTTGGTTTTTAAATTTTTCGAGTTTTGCGCTCCGATTTTCAGCTTCTCGGTTTTTAGGTTTTTAAGTTTTTTTCCGTTTTTCAAATTTTCGATATTCCGCTTTCGAAATTTTACAATACATATTTCGATTTTTCGATTTCTCAATATTTAATTTTTTAAATTTTTCAATTTATCGATACTTTTGTTTTTCCATTTTTAAAATTTTAGATTTTTCGGTTTCTCGACTTTTTATTTCTTCGATATTTCTATTTTTCCATTTTACGAATTTTTAAATTTTCGATTTTTCAGTTTTTTGATTTTCCGATTGGTTGATCTCGGTTTTAGATTTTTCAGCTTTTCACTTTTTAGATTTTTAAAATTTCTGACTTCGATTTTTCGTTTTTTCGTTTTATGGATTTTTTAATTTAAAATTTTTCAATTTTTCAGATTTTAACATTTCGATTTTTGGATTTTTTGATCTTTTGATATTTCGATTTCTCGATTTTTCAGTTTTCCGAATTCTCAATTTCTGATTCATCGATTTTTGATTTTTCCATTTCTCTATTTTTCGACTATTCAATGTTTCGATATTTCAATTTTTCGATTTTTTAGGTTTTTGATTTTTTAATTTTTCGATTTTTCCGCTCCGATTTTCAATTTTTCGGTATTCGACTTTTGAGATTTTTCAATATTCGATTTCTCAAGTTTTTGCTTTTTTTTTAATTTTTCAATTTATCGATAATTTCATTTTTCCATTTTTAAAATTTTAGAAATTGCGATTTTTCGATTTTTCATTTCTTGGATATTTTTATTTTTTTTTCGAATCTTTAAATTTTCGATTTTTCAGTTTTTTGATGTTGCGACTTCTTGGTCTTCTAGGTTTTAGATTTTTCAGCTTTTCACTTTTCGATTTTTTAATTTTTCGGTTTTAAAATTTTTCGACTTCTCAATTTTTGATTATCGATTTATGGGTTTTTTAAATTTTAAATTTTTCAATTTTTAACTTTTCGATTTTTCCATTTTTTTATATTTCTTGATCTTTTGATGTTTCTATTCTTCGATGTTTCACTTTATGAATTTTTCGATTTCTCGATTTGTCAATTTCGATTACTCAATTTTTCCATATTTCAGTGTTGGGGTTTTTCAATGTTTTTTATTCTCGATTCATCAAATTTTCAATTTTTGGTTTTTTTCATTTTTAGGTTTCTTAATTTTCCGACGTTTCTCTTCTGTTTTTAATGTTTCTAAATTTTCAATTTTCCGATTTCTCAATTTTTCGACTTTTCAATGTTTAGATATTTAAATTTTTCGGGTTTTTGATTTTTAAATTTTTCAATTTTTTAAATTTTCGATTATTCCGCTCCAATTTTTCAGCTTTTCGATTCCTCGATTTTTATTTTTTTTCCTTTTTCAATTTTTCGATATTCCACTTTTGGGATTTTTCAATATTTCAATTCTTCGATTTTTTGATTTCTCAATTTTTTACTTTTTTGATTTTTCAATTTATCGATATTTTCATTTTCATTTTTCAGTTTTCGAATCTTTTAAATTTAAATTTTTCAGTTTTTTGATGTTCCCATTTCTTGGTCTTCTCGATTTTAGATTTTTCAGCTTTTGACTTTTTCGATTTTTAAAATTGCTGATTTTGATTTTTCAATTTTTCGATTTCTCAATTAAGATTTTTTGATTGTTCCAATTTTCTTTTTTTTTGATGTTTCGTTTTATGGATTTTTTTAATTCTAAATTTTTTAATTTTTAACTTTTCGATTTTTCGATTTTGGCCTATTTCGGCTCCTCAATTTTTCGGTTTTCTGATTCCTTGATTTTTGCTGTTTTTATTTTTCGATTTTTCAGGTTTTTGATTTTTAAATTTGGCGATTTTTTAAATTTTCGATTTTTCCGCTCCGATTTTCAGCTTCTCGATTTTTAAGTTTTTTTCCGTTTTTCAATTTTTCGATATTCCACTTCGGGTTTTTTCAACACACATTTCGATTTTTCGATTTCTCAATTTTATTTTTTTTTTTAATTTTTCTATTTATCGTTATTTTCATTTTTCTTTTTTTAAAATTTAGATTTTTCGATTTCTCTACTTTTTATTTCTCTGATATTTCTACTTTTCTATTTTGCGAATCTGTAAATTTTCGAATTTTCATTTTTTTTTCCATTTGTTGATCTCGGTTTTATTTAGATATTCACTTTCCGATTTTTTTATATTTCTTGATCTTTTGATGTCTCTGTTTTTCGACATTTCAGTTTCTGAATTTTTCAATGTTTTGATTTTTCGATTTCCAAGTTTTTCATAATTCCAGTTCTGATTATTTAATTTCTCGAATCTTTAAATTTTCGAATTTTCATTTTTTTTTATTTTTCCATTTGTTGATCTCGGTTTTATTCAGATTTTCACATTTCGATTTTTCGATTTTTTATATTTCTTGATCTTTTGATGTCTCTGTTTTTCGACATTTCAGTTTCTGAATTTTTTGATGTTTTGATTTTTCGATTTCTAAGTTTTTCATAATTCCAGTTTTGGAATTTTAATTTCAGTTTTGATTATTTAATTTCTCGATTCTTTATATTTTAAATTTTTCGACTTATCAATTTCTCGACTTTTCAATGTTTGGATATTTCAATTTTTCGGGTTTTTGATTTTTAAATTTTTCAATTTTTAAAATTTTCGATTATTCCGCTTCGATTTTTCAGCTTTTCGATGTCTCGATTTTTCCTTTTCAATTTTTCGATATTCCACTTTTGGGATTTTTCAATATTTCAATTCTTCGATTTTTCGATTTCACAATTTTTTACTTTTTTGATTTTTCAATTTATCGATATTTTCATTTTTCCAGTTTTCGAATCTTTAAATTTTCAATTTTCCAGATTTTTGATGTTCCGATTTCTTGGTCTTCTCGATTTTAGATTTTTCAACTTTTGACTTTTTCGATTTTTGAAAATTTCTGATTTTGATTTTTCAATTTTTCGATTTCTCAATTAAGATGTTTCGTTTTATGGATTTTTTTAATTCTAAAATTTTCAATTTTTAATTATTCGATTTTTCGATTTTTGCCTATTTCGGCTCCTCAATTTTTCGATTTTCTGATTCCTTGATCTTTTGCTGTTTCTATTTTTCGATGTTTCCGTTTCTGAATTTTGCAATATTTCGATTTTTCGATTTCCCAATTTTTCATCATTTCAGTTTTCTCGATTTTTCAGTTTTTCAATTCTTCAATTTCACCAGTTTTCAGTATTTTAAATTTTGGATTTTCGATTTCTCTGCTTTTCGATATTTAAATTTTTGATTTGTAAATTTTAGATTTTTGAATTTTTCAGTTTTTCTATTGTTTGATATTTCGATTTCTCAGATTTTTCAGTTCTCCGATTTTTCGACTTTTTGATTTAAAATTTTTGGATTTAATCAAGTTTTCGATTTCTCAGTATTTCAGTATTTTAATTTTTCGATTTTTCTTTGCTTCGTTTGTTAGATTTTTCGATTTTGTAATTTTTCGGATTTTTCAATTTTCCGATGTTTAAATTTGTTGATATCCCAATTTCTCGATATTTGACTCACCCTGTATAAATGAAAACTGAGACTTTTAACGGGATAACCTAGAGACAAGCTACCATATGATCGAAAAACAGTCGGCAGACCATGAAATTTATTTTGAAAATAATGACATTCCAGATTTATTTAAATGCCAAACTGATAACCAAGAAAGGGGAGGCGTTGGTGTTGCCAACATAATTTTTTTAACATTAAATTTCAAAGGTGGCGACTTTTTTTCTCGATCATATGGTACAATTTTGAGCAGAGAGTGGTTTCTGAATGACACAACAGTGGCGTTTAAGTGACAGATGTTTGACATTTTAATCCGTGTACACCTATGACTTTATAAAATTAAACTAGGAAAATTAAATCTTAAACTATTCCGTTACGATCAAGCAACTGCAATGCCAACATAGTTACTTCAAAAATAAAATTTATGGCCTACTAGAGTACTTTTTTTGTCGATCGTGTGATACTTTTTCGTTGAACCGGAGGCGCTTGAACATTGAAAAAAATGCTAAAAATAAGTTCACGTTGTTATTTTTTCAGAAAAAACGTAAATTACTTTTTATATAAAATTATGTTAAAAAAAATTAATACATCTTGTAAAATTAGATAAAAGTGAAGTGATAATTAAAAAAATCGTCTTCAGAGTAAAATTGAAAAGGGTTTGGCACCGCTAGGCACAAAATAGATTTAATTGGACCCGGGTGCGCTTAAACATTTCGTGTTTCAAAATTTCAACTTTTACGGTGAAAAAATGTCTTTAAAAAGTAAACTGTGCTCATTTTACAGCTTAGACATAATTCTGTAACGTAGAAAACAATCCTTTTTTTGAGCATTTACTGTTTACTGCGTTATAAAAAAACAAGTTATTATTCATAAAACTATTTTAAACAGAAATCGTATGCATTACTTGCGTTTTCAATGAGTCATTTTGGTTTGGAAGGGAATGGAAATAATAAATAATGTCGTACAGTTTCATTTTACAGTCTGGCTGATTAAATTTTATAATGACGTGGAGTAAAGTCGATACTTTACGCTAAAACGATAATTTACACCTTGTGAACATTCAAGCGCACCCGGCTCAAGAAAATGGAAGTCTGTTTTCATTAAGCAATTTTGTGTTGAAAGTTTTTATATTCCAGTGTGAAATGGTTCAACGCATCTCGGTAGAGGCTTGGCGCGGTTAGACGCCAGGTTACGTTGGCCCGGATGCGCTTAAACATTCCCTGTATCAAAATTTAAATATTTTATAGGTGTTTTCGTTGTTCGTAGTTTTTTCGTTTTTGATTTTTGAAAGCTATTGTGGTAAAGAAATGTGATAAAAATTAATAGTATACATTGTTTTTATAAATTAGAATAATATTTAAATGGTGAAGCTATATGTAGTTAAAAGTCGTATTGCTTACGTATTGTGTCCTTGTTTACATTTCGAGGGTAATCGTAGTAATTATCGTGTTGTTTTAAAATATAAACCTCATTTTACAACTTGTCAACTGATTATACGCTATGACGTGGATATTGCCATTTTTATAGTTCTCTTCACTAAGCATTCATTCAATAGAAATCAATTTCTCGTTCTCGGATTATTTTTTAGCTCGGCCAACGTCTCGTCGAAAATTTATCGCTAAACATTTTCGATTGTTTTGTAACATATTTGTCACCCTCCTTACGTATAAAAATAATATTTTGTGGTTACTTAACCACAAGTGTTGTTTATGCTGTTTGGACATCACATGAAATTAGTTATCGTCGACGTTATAGTCGAAGACCGGAACGCATGTTTTTGATGTGATATAATTCACGACGTTACAACGGAGCGTCATCAAAGTTTTACAACATTCGAATAAAATTTTGCAATAAATCGCTTGTTGACCAATGTAAATTTCGTAGGACATAGTGCCACTTTTTGAGTTCTAATTTCACTTTCGTAATCCACCTAGCTTTCTCCTCAAAGCTGGGCTATGAGGAGCACATTCCTGGTCAGACCAGAGACTGGAACGAGGAGCTCCAAACCACGCGGGAGTTGCCCAGAAAAACCCTCCCGGAACGCCTCCTTCGGGAACGGGCCATCTTCAAGGTTCACAGCGATTTCGTGGCTGCGGCCACCAGAGGTGCAATGGCCGTCATAGACGGCAACGTAATGGCGATAAACCCGGGCGAAGAAGCCAAAATGCAAATGTTCATCTGGAACAACATATTTTTCTCGCTGGGTTTCGACGTCAGGGATCATTACAAGGAATTCGGAGGCGACGCCGCTGCCTTCGTTGCTCCTGTATGTTTTTAACACCCTGTATAATATAATGACTATTATTTTGTTTGTAGAAAAATGATCTACAAGGTGTTCGCGTTTATAGCGCTGTTGATTTACCCGGTTTGTATACGCTAGGTACTGTTGTTATTGATTATAGAGGATTTAGAGTGACTGCTCAGTCGATAATACCCGGTATACTCGAGCGCGAACAAGAGCAGTCGGTGGTTTATGGGTCCATCGATTTTGGAAAGACTGTGTTGAGCCACCCTAAATATCTGGATTTGGTGAGTTTGGCCTGGATTTGTGTGTTTGATATTAATTTGAGCAGTGATTGGAACAATTAATTTTGAAAAGTAATGCAATACTTTAACAATTACTTTTTTAAATCAAAATATGCAGTGTAACAATGTCTTTGACCTGATGTTCAAAAAATGTCCGTATTGTTAACTTCACATAGTCGGATTATAAAAAAAGAAATCAAATTGGTAAGAGTAGAAATAGTATGAGAAGAACGTGTCAAGTCATCACTATCTGTCACTTACACTTTGTAGCGTGTAACTACTAGTTCTGAAAAATATATTTCCATATATTATATAATGCAAGCCTATGTAATTTAGCTTCTCAGAGACAACAGAGAATTATTTTTAATATAACCTCCACAAGCTCGCTGCGCTCGCAATCTAAACGTTCTTTTTTTAGCAGTTTAGTGCCATAAAAGAACCTCAGCGAAGCTGTCTAGGTTGCCTCTAGTCTTATTATAAAAAAAAAAAACAACAACCTGTAGAATGCGAGCGCAGAGAGCACGTTTGGGTCGCTGGGGTCTCTACGACTTTTATTTTCATAAAAATTTCAAGATTCACCTTTTTCAGACACTAAAAAACGTTCTCATTAATACTAATTTAACTTACCAGGGACATCGGCCAATAATTATTAATAACACTCGCTGCTCTCCCAATCTGAATGCTCTTTTTCAATTAATTTAGTGTCATAAATACATTTACTAATGAACGGTCAGCAAGACTACTTAGTTTTTAATGTAATAATTCTAGATGTGTCCCTATGAAGGTAAATTACTCTGAAAAAATCGATCTTCAAAATGCGAGCGTAGCGAGCCTGTTCAGGATGTTTCAGTCTCACAGACATCAGTGATCACAAACAATCTTAAACTCACATTTTTAAATAACAACAAAATCGTTCTTAATAATTTATCTTCTCAGGAACACCAATTAATAATTTTTTAATTTACACCTGAACGTGCTCGCTGCGCTCGCACTTTAAACTTCATTTTTCCGCTTTATTTTCATAGACGTCTGCAAGAAAGAGTCTCAGCGAAGTTGTTTCGAATAAATTTCTAGACTTTCGAAAAGCACGTTTAAAATTGCGATAGTCTCCCCAATTTCAGCAGATAATAACACAAACATTTTCGGGATTCACCTTTTTTAGACAAGAAAAAAAATCTCTCATTAATAAATTCGGCTTCTCGGGGACATTAACAAGTAATTTTTAATAACACTTAAACGTGCTCGCTGTGCTCGCATTCTTAATGTTTTTTTCGACAATTGTGAATCATCGGTATGGCTACTTACTTTGTTTTATTATAATAATTCTATAGACGCTAAATTATTGTGACAAAAACAACTTGAGGAGTACAAGTGCAGTAAGCACGTGTGAATTGATACAGTCCCCTTTTTTTTCTTAGTGCTCATTTGCCAAAATTAGTCCCATCTTGACAGGTACTAGCCCCACCCACCCGCCCTTTATTTTCTTAAAGGATATGTCATTTGCCAAAATCAGTCGACCCTTGACCGGTACTAGCCCCGCCCACCCACCCTTTATTTTCTTAAATGACATCTTCTAAGAAAATAAAGGGTGGGTGGGCGGGGCTAGCATTTGCTGAGGTAGACTGATTTTGGCAGATGACGTACACTCTAAGAAAATAAAGGGCGGGTGGGTGGGGCTAGTACTTGCTAAGATAAACTGATTTTGGCAAACGATATATACTCTAAAAAAACAAAGGGTCGATGGGCGATGATGCTCAGCCCCGCCCACCTTTTATTTTCTTAGAGGATATATCATTTGCCAAAATCAGTCTATCTTAGTAAGTACTAGCCCCACCCACCCGCCCTTTATTTTCTTAGAGTGTATATTATTTTAAGTTAGATATAGTTATGATTGTTAAAGATATGACTGATGAAAGATTATAAACATAATAAATCACAAAAAGACGATACAATTGCCTTCCTCTAAAATCACCAGTCTGTGGACCCGTCTGGACAATTGGTCTACTGCGATATTTTATTGGTGTGTTCTTCTCAAAGTATTTAGTCTCTACAACATTTTTTTATTCATCTAAGAAATGATACAATGAAGATGTTTCAATTTTTACTAAAGCACTGCCACTGATTTGGTCATTCTCCATTGCTAAGATAAGAGTGATTTTGGCAAACGCCACATCCTCTGAGAAAATAAAGGGCGGATGGGCGGGGCTAGTACTGGGTAAGATAACACTGATTTTAGCAAATGACATACTCTCTAAGAAAGTAAGGGTGGGTGGGCGGGGCTAGTACTTCCTAAGATAAGACTTATTTCGGCAAATGACATCCCCTGGGAAAATAGGAGGCGGATGGGCGGGCCTAGTGTTTGTTATTAAGATAAAACTGCTTTGACGCCTATTAATCTTGTAAAAACTTGTGAAATTTAAAGGTGTTCAAAAGCAAATTTCTATAGTAACGTGTTAAATTCTTAAATCTACCCGAAATATGCAAAATATAATGAGTGTTTATTTATCATTGCATTCATATTTTTTAAATTTACTTAAATAGGGTGACTCAAAAAAATTAATGAATTTATTTTATTGATTTAATCAGGAACTGCAAAACCGAATCCTTTGAAATCTTGGACATGTTTTAAGGTTATCATAAGCATGGTAAATTTTTGATCAAAATGTATTTGCTCATTCCCCCTAAGAAATTGATGACGTCACCTAAATGTCCAAAATATGATGAGTCTATACTTGGGATCTATTTTTAATATATAATTAATATTTCTTAAATTTGTTTATACAGTCTGCCTCAGAAAAACTAATGACTGAATTGTTAAAAAATATATATCCAATCAGATCTAGGTACATATTGAATTCGTTACTATGGAAATATACAATTTAATACATTTTAAATTTAATAAGTTTTTACATGTTTAATAGGAGCAAAATCGGTCTTATCTTATCAAGTACTAGCCCCGCCCACCCACCTTTTATTTTCACAGATGATATAGCGTTTGCCAAAATCAGGCTTATCTGAGCAAGTGTTAGCCCCTCCCACCCGCCCCTGTTTTCTCAGAGGATATGTCATTTGCCAAAATAAGACTTATTGTAGCAAGTACTGGTAAGTAGTATCCTCTGAAAAAATAAAGGGCGGGTGGGCGGGGCTAGTACTTGGTAAGATAAGACTGATTTTGCAAATGACATAAAATCTGAGGAAGTAGGGGGCGGGTGGGTGGGGCTAGTAATTGATAAGACAAGACTGATTTTGGCAGATGACATATCCCGTAAAAAAAAGGGGTGGGTGGGCGGGGCTAGTACTTGGTAAGATAAGACTGATTTTGGCAAATGACATATCCTCTGGGAAAATAGCGGGCGGGTGGGCGGGGCTAGTATTTGTTAAGATAAAACTGATTTTTTCCCTATTATAAGATTAAAAATCTAGTGAAATTTAATTGTTTTCAAAAATTAAATACGAAGGATCTCCAAGATTATTTTAAATTCCTTCAAAAATAAAACACCATGGGTCCCAATACCATTTGAAAAACAGCAGGGTAGCCAACATTTTTACAAATTTTTTCGAAAATCAAACACTAAGAAACTTTCGCTTTTTTAGAAAACAGAAAACCTGAAACCCCCAAGATTCTTTCACATTTTTTCAAAAATGGAAAATCAGGGACCTCAAGATTCCTTTAAACTCTAAAAAAAAAACGCCTGAAAGACCCAATTTTTTCAATTGTTTTAAAAAATTAAACACGAAGGATCTCCAGGATGCTTTCAAATTCCTGCAAAAATAAAACACCATGGGTCTCAATATCCTTTTAAACTCTTAATGAACAGCAGAGTTACCCGATATTTTTTCAAATTTTGTCAAAAATCAACAGTAGGGCTCCTAATAAACTTTCACTTTTTTTGAAAAGAAAAAAGCTGGAAAAGATGATTATTTAAAAAATTGTTTTAAAAATGGAATATCAGGTGGCTCAAAAGTCGCTTAAACTCTAAGAAAACACCAGAAAAACCCAATATCTTTTGTTTTTGTTTTCAAAAACTATACATGAATTATCTCCAAGATACTTCCGTAAAGATAACACCAGAGCTTGCCAGGATTCTTCAAAATCTTTTAAAAGAAATGCCAAATTCTAGCAGCAGCACCCAACATTTTTTCCAATTTTTTCTAAGACTTTTTCATTTTTTTCAAAACTAAAGTTTCAAAGAGTACAAATAAAACTTGATTGATTCATTGATCGATTGATATTTTAGTAAACTAACGCCTCTGTGGCACTTCGATATTAGTTACAATGTTAAATAAATTTTGTTTCTTTACCCCCCCCCCCCTCTAGAAAATTGGTGACGTCACCCCAAGAAATTATTAAATAATAATTGTTTATTAAATCGTGGCTTTACGATTACCTACACAGAATGTTTCAAAATATATATTAAGCGCCCTTTGAACTCATTAACAAACATGTTTTTGGAAAAAAAAAATATTAGTTCGTTTTTTTTTTTTTTTTTGAAAATATATTGGTTTCATTATATCCCGTGCTTCGGAAGTGTGCAGCAATTTTCTTAAAATTTTATGTCTATACATTAAGGTTGCATAAAAATAATGAAAACTTACAGAAAATTTGTCTATGCATCCCCTCTGAAAAATTGATGACGCCATTTTAAAATGTATTAAACGCATCTGTTTTGAAACAATGTCTTTGACCTAACGTTCAAAAAAATATCCTTATTGTTAACTTCACATAGTCGGATTATAAAAAAAAATAATTCAAATTGGTAGAGTAGAAATATTATGAGAAGAACGTGTTAAGTCATCATCACTATCTGTTAGATGTGACCGATGAAAGATTATAAAAGTAATAAATCACGGGAAGACGATACAAATCGCTTCCTCTAAATTCACAAGTGGACCCGTCCGGACAATTGGTCTATTGCTGTGTTCTTCTCAAACTATTTCCCTCTACAATAACATTTTGCAATTCACGTGAGAAATAACATAACGGAGATGTTTCAATTTTTAGTACAGCACTGGCATTGATTTGATCATTCTCCATTATACAATATTAAATAAATTTTGTCTTTGCCCCCTTTAGAAAGTTGATGACGTCACTGCAATAAATTATTAAATATAAGTTTATTAAAGATGTGTTCTTCTCAAAGTATTTTGTCTCTACAACAACATTTTTTATTCATCTAAGAAATGATACAACGAAGATGTTTCAATTTTTACTAAAGCACTGCCACTGATTTGGTCATTCTCCATTATACAACGTTAAATAAATTTTGTTTTTTTACCCCCCTCTAGAAAATTGGTGACGTCACCCCAAGAAATTATTAAATACTTGTTTATTAAATCGTGGCTTTACGATTACCTACACAGAATGTTCCAAAATAAATATTAAGCGCTCCTTGAACTCATTAACAAACATGTTTTTCGATTTTTTTTTAATCAAAATTAGTTCGTGTTTTTTTTTGAAAATATATTGGTTTCATTTATATCCCGTGCTTCGGAAGTGTGCAGCAATTTTCTTAAAATTTTATGTCTATACATTAAGGTTGCATAAAAATAATGAAAACTTACAGAAAATTTGTCTATGCATCCCCTCTGAAAAATTGATGACGCCATTTTAAAATGTATTAAATGCATCTGTTTTGAAACAATGTCTTTGACCTGACGTTCAAAAAAATATCCTTATTGTTAACTTCACATAGTCGGATTATAAAAAAAAAAGAATTCAAATTGGTAGAGTAGAAATATTATGAGAAGAACGTGTTAAGTCATCATCACTATCTGTCAGATGTGACCGATGAAAGATTATAAAAGTAATAAATCACGGGAAGACGATACAAATCGCTTCCTCTAAATTCACAAGTGGACCCGTCCGGGCAATTGGTCTACTGCGATATTTTATTGGTGTGTTGTTCTCAAACTATTTTCTCTCTACAATAACATTTTGCAATTCACTTGAGAAATAACATAACGGAGATGTTTCAATTTTTAGTACAGCACTGGCATTGATTTGATCATTCTCCATTATACAACATTAAATAAATTTTGTCTTTGCCCCCTTTAGAAAGTTGATGACGTCAGTATGAGTATGAGTATTTCAAAATATATATTAACCGCCTAGTGTATATATGTATATATTTTGGCAAATGACATATCCTCGAAGAAAAAAGAGGGTGGGTGGGCGGGGCTAGTGCCTGCTAAGATAAGACCTACTCTCTGACAAAATGAAGGGCGAGTAGACGGAGCTGGTACTTGCTAAGATATGACTGATTTTTCCAAATGACATACCCTCTAAGAAAATGAAGGGTAGAGGGTATATCATTTGGCAAAATCAGTCTTATCTTGGTAAGTATTGGCCCCGCCCACCCACCTTTTATTTTATGCAAGGGTATGCCAATTGGCGGGGTTAGTACTTCTGAAAAGAACTGAGGCAGAAATTTATATGTATGCTGAAATATGCTTTAGCTCACCCTTAAAATGATGAAGAGCTTGTGTATAATTTGGTTAATTCTGTGCTAAACTCGTTTTAGATTTTTACTCCCTACTGGGTTAATCTTCTCTTTGTGGGGACGAACCAGGTCAAGTAAACGATTCGTAGAGAAAAACAAAACAATATTTTTGAGTATTTGGGTTAAAAGTAATTGTAAAAGTGACTGAATTTCTCAAAAAAAGTAATTTGTTACAATTACTCATTACATGAATTTCTTGTAATCGATTTACTTCCAACCACTGAATTTGAGGTTGTTCCAGTTGAACAAAGCCGGCCAACAATTAAAAATATTACCTCATCACGTACTTAATGACAAGGATGAACCCGTCGAGTTGTGTTCGAGTGTCGAATGTAAAGGTATCATAGGGAACGACGGACGCCATTATATTTTAGATCTGTTGCGAACTTTCCCACCTGACGTTAATTTCTTGCAACGTAATCAACTAAATAAACTTCTGCAACCATAATCTCACTCATTCTATTTTAGTCGACGAAGAATTAAGTAAAGAAGTGAAACTCTTAGGCTTCCCACTTAAACACAAGCACAAGTTGTGTTGTTTGCGTCAGGAATTGATCGATAGTTTCGTTGATTCGCGTTATATGATGTTTATTAAATATGCTGCATATCACTTGCAACAACTGAATATACGTAAGAATGACCCCAAAATTAACAATAATCAGGCGATTGATGACCAAAAGACTGAGAAGGACGAAAGCGAGAAAAAGGAGCCAGAGAAAATCGCCGACGATAGTGAAACTAAAAAGGGACAGATGGAGGACGAAGAGGCGAAGAAAATGGTCGAGAGTATCACCGACGGAAACAAAATAGAACGTAAGTAGCGACGGATTAAGGTCGGTTTTAATCGTCACACTTTTGTTTTGTAGTTGAAGAAAGCACCAAAAATATTGTTAAGACGGCAGCTGTGGCTGTGGGTTCGTTGAAAGATACGGAATTCGATATTCGTTTTAATCCGGATGTGTATTCTCCGGGGATCAAACATTGTGATAAATTGGACCCAGTGATCTCTAAACAGAGACAACTAGTGAAAGATGCGGCAGAGTTTTTGCTCACTGTACAAATTCCTACATTCGTGAGTGGAGTAGTTGGTGGTGTACAGGTTATTATTTGTGGGTTCGTTGCAGATTCGAGACTGTTTGGACCACTCGTCGGCACCAATGGATGGTTTCACTTTATCGGAAGCGTTGCACAATCGCGGAATCAATATGAGATACTTAGGAAAAGTAACAAATTTATTAGCGAAGGTTAAACAGTTGGAGTATTTGCATAGTATTGCTATTGCGGAGTTATTGCTAAGAGCAGCTAAACATATTTTCACTGTATATTTACAGGTTAGTTTTGATTGAAAAGCGTTTTTATTTTTTCTAAATTTGTGTTTTGTAGTCTTCAGAAATGATGAACTTGTCCATAGCGATTGCTCACTTTTTGAACTGCTTTTTGTATTCAGGGCAAGTGTCAAATCCTATACAAGGCATTGATGAGGTGAGTGGTAAAACAGTAAAACGGGATTTTAAATTATTATTTACAGAGCAAAAACAACAGGAAGCGCAACAAACGTCGCGGCAAACTGAACCCACTAGCCTGCAACGACAATAACGAATGGGCGAATCTCACCCCTAAAACCCTCTGGTCTCAACTAAAACAAGAACTGAAATCCTACTTTGACTATGAACTAACGACCAACGACATCGACGCTACCACGGAAAGCTTTTCCTTGCAAAAAATATCCCTCCTACGTTCGTTTTGTCTAAAAACCGGCGTTCAGATTCTACTAAGAGACTACCATTTCGATTCTAAAACTAAATTGATATTTTACGAGGAGGATATCCTGAACGTCTTCCCCATCGTCAAGCACATCAATCCGAGGGCGACTGACGCGTATAATTTCTACACCACTGGACAAAACAAGATTCAACAGGGTTATCTGAAGGACGGGTACGAGTTGATCAGCGAAGCTTTGAATTTGTTGAATAACGTGTACGGGGCCATGCATCCGGAGATTGCGCAGTGCTTGAGGATGATCGCTCGGTTGAATTATATTATGGGGGAGCACACCGAGGCTATGGTGTATCAACAGAAGGCTGTGTTGATGTCGGAGCGGGTTAATGGGATTGATCATCCTTATACTATAACGGAATATGTGAGTATTTGGTTGTGTTCGGGTTTGTTCTAGGTTTTTTCTTTATAAATAAAAAGTTGCCATAGTTTAAATGTCAATAGTGTCATGTGTAATTTGTTTTCTTGTTAGGTTGGCATAAGTTGTATTAATTTGTTTTTTCGTCGAATCAAGTAGGTTGTTATGACAAACAAATGACAACAAACGTCATTGTGTTATTTCATTTAACAGCGAATTAACTAATTGTCGTGATTCGTGTGTGTTAAAATTGCTGATATATTGACTAAATGAGATCATAAATTGTGAAGAATAATGATTATTTTCAATATTAGAAACAATACTGTAAAGTTGGCGGCCAGGTATTAAAAAAGCATGTGAATTAGAAGATGAAGGTGTAGTTTTGGTGAAAATGGTTTAAAAAGTTCAATGAAACACATTTGGAATAGGTTTAAAGTGTCTTTTAACTGATTTTAATTTATTTTCACGTCCAAAAAGTGATATGAATTTATTATTCATCTCACTACATAAACAAAAGTTGGCGTTTAGAAAGACAAGAATGACAGTTTCTTCCGTTGCCAACTTAACATTTTTAGTTTGAGAAATAGGTATATTGTTGCAAAAAATTTCCCAATACATATCAAAGGTGTTAAAATTAAACTAAAAAATGGTTACAATTTCGATATAAATGCAAGTTTTCTTATTTTATTGGAAATATCTTTAAAAAGATTAATTTCAACATTTCTTTGCGAAAGTCTGGTTGCCTAGGGTGCAAAATTAAGGCGGATTTATCAACCACAAGTATATGAGTGTTATTTTATAATCATATTAATTAAAACGAACAGGTTATATGCTTCTTGGTTTGAAACCTCTTTATTACTTTCCGAGCGTAAGCTAAGTAAGTATCCCGTTTCCGTCTGTCTGTTGATTTTTTGATTTAGTACATTTCGGTTTTTCAAGTTTTTTCAATTCATCGATGTGTTAAATTCTAAATTATTAAATTTTTCAGTTTTTAATTTCTTGATTTTGGGCTATTTCGATTTTCGACTTTTAGATTTCTCCATTTTTTCATGTTTCGATTTCTCAGTGTTTATTTTTGAATTTTTCGATGCTTCGATTTCCCGGTTTTTCGGCTCTACGATTTTTCGGTTTTCCAATTTTTCGAGGTTTCGATTTTTCAGTTTTGTGACTAATCAATTTTTCGATTCAATGTTTAGATTTTTCAGTTTTTCGACTTTTTAAAATATAGATTTTTCGATTTCTCGATTTTTTGATTTTTTACTATTTCAATTTTTCGGTTTTTAAAATTATTCGACTTTGATTTTTCAATTTTTCTATTTTTCGCCTTATCGCTTTATCGATTTATCAGTTTTTCGTAATTTCAGTTTTGAGTTTTTTTAAATATTTCTGTTTTTCGACTCCGATTTCTCGATTTCCCGATTTTTCAATTTTTCGATTTTTATTTTTTCAATTTTTTATTGATGTGTCATGTCTCGATTTTTTTTATTTTTCAATATTTAATTTTTTCTATTTTTTAAATTTTAGATTTCTCGATTTCTGGATTTTTTTGTTTGAAATTTTCGAAATTTTTAATTTTAGATTTTTAATTTTTTTGAAGTTTCGATTTCTCAACCTTTGATTTTTAGATTTTTCGGTTCTAGATTTTTCGATTTTAACATTTTTTGATTTTTCAAGTTTTCGATTTTTCAGTTTCCCGATTTTTCCATTTTTCAGTTTTTCAGTTCATCGATTTGTTAGATTTTAAATTATTCAAGTTTTCAGTTTTTAATTTGTTCATTTTGGGTTATTTCGATTTTCGGCTTTTCGATTTTTCGACTTTCCAAATTTTCGAGGTTTCAGTTTTTCAATTTTTTGATTAGCCAATTTTTCGATATTCCAGTTTTAGGACTTCTCAAATTCTGAATGTTCCAATTTTTTTTTTAAAATATGGTTTTTTCGATTTCCCAATTTTTGATCTTTTAATACTTCAATTTTTCGTTTTTTAAATTTTTTTCGCTATTTGAGGTTTAAATTTTTCAATTTTTTGATTTTTTAAAATATAGATTTTTCGATTTTCCGATTTTTTGATTTTTTAATATTTCAATTTTTCTATTTTTAATTTTTTTTTCGCTATTTGAGATTTGGGATTTTTCAATAGATTGATTTTTCAATTTTTCTTCGATTTTTGCCTTATCACTTTATTGATTTATCAGTTTTTGGTAATTTTAGTTTTGAGTTTTCTAAATATTTAGATTTTTCAATTTTCGATTTTTCAACTTCGATTTCTCAATTTTTTTTTTATTGTTTGATGTTTCGATTTCTGGATTTTTTTAATTTTCATTATTTTAGTTTTCCTATTTTTGAAATTCTAGATTTTTTGATTTCTGGATTTTTTTGTTTTAAATTTTTCGAAATTTAAATTTTAGGTTTTAATTTTTTTGTAAGTTTCGATTTTTCGATTTTTCGGTTTCTCGAAATCAAAAAATGGTAATTTCGGTTTTTAAAATTTTTGCTTCATTTTTCGATTTTTGAATATTTCGGTTTTTTAAGTTTTCGATTTTTCCGTTTTCCGATTGCCCAATTTCCCGATTTTTCCAATTTTTTAATTTTTCAGTTCATCGATTTGTTCAATTTTAATTTATTCAATTTTTCAGTTTTTTATTTTTGATTTTGGGGTGTTTCGATTTTTGACTTTTCGATTTCTCCATCTTTTCATGTTTAGATTTCTCAATATTTATTTTTGAATTTTTCCATACTTCGATTTCTCGGTTTTTCTATTTTCCAATTTTTCAAGGCTTCGATCTTTCGATTGACCAATTTTTCGACATTCCAGTTTTAGGACTTCCAATTTCTGGATGTTTCCATTTTTTAAAATATAGAATTTTCCATGTCTTGTTTTTTTAACTTTGCTGCGATTTTTTGAGGTTTCGTTTTACCGATTTTTTGATTTTTCGACTTCGATTTTCAATTTCTCGATTTTTTAATTTTTCAACATTTCAATTTTCCGAAAATTTACTTTTTCAGTTTTGTGGTGTTTGCTCGAGTTTTCGACTTTTCGGATTTCGATTTTTTCGGTTTGGTAATTTTTTTTAGTTTTTTAGGGAAGTTCTATCGAAAGAACATTCGACTATTTTTTTCAGTACTTTAACATTACGTACATATCTTTATTTCAACTTAGAAGGGTTGTCATAAAAAAAAATAATAAAATTCGCAGCATCAAATATTATAATTTTTCGAAAAATCTAGATTTATTGTACTGTACCGCAGAGGCGAGGGAAGTCCTGTCGAAATAACCTTCGACCAATTTTTCATATTTCGATTTTACGATTTTTTTTGATGTTTCGATGTGCGGATTTTTTTGATTCTTCAATTTTATTCCATTTTTTTGATTTCTCGACGTCGATTTTTAAAATTTTTTGAATTAACGATTTTTCAATTTTAGAAGTTTCGATTTCTCCACTTCTCGATGTTTCAATTACCCAATTTTTCGCTGGTTTGAGGTTTGGATTTTTCACTTGTTTGATTTTTCAATTTTTCTTTGATTTTTTGATTTTTCGCTTTATCGCTTTATCGATTCATCACTTTTTCGAAATTTCAGTTTTGAGATTTTTTAATATTTTGATTTTCCAATTTTTCGATTTTTCGACTTCGATTTCTCGATTTCCCGATTTTCCAATCTTTTGATTTCTTAATTTTTCAATTAATTTGTTTATTGATGCTCCGGTTTATGTATTTTTTAATTTTTCAATATTTTAGTTTTTCGACTTTTTAATTTTTTTATTTTTAGAAATTTTTAATTTTTTTGAAGTTTCGATTTCTTAATCTTTCGATCTTTCGACTTCTCAACGTCTTGGTTGTACGATTTTAAAAATTTTTCGACTACAATTTTTTGATTTTTATATTTCTCAATTTTTCTCTGGTTGAGGTTTGGGATTTTTTTACTTTTTTGATTTTGTCAATTTTTTAAAATATAAGATTTTTTGATTGCGTTTTTTCTTTTTTTTATTTTTCAGTGGTTGATTTTACAATTTTTTGATGTTCCGATTTCCCGATTTTTTGATTTTTTAATATTTCAATTTTTCGATTTTTAAAATTTTTTCGCTATTTATGGATTTTTCAATTTTTCTTCGATTTTTCGATTATTCGCTTTATCGATTCATCAGTTATTCGAAATTTCAGTTTTGAGATTTTTTAATATTTTGATTTTTAAATTTTTCGACTTCAATGTCCCGATTTTCCAATTTTTTTATTTTTTAATTTTTCAATTTTTGATTTTTCAATTTTTCAATTTTTTTTTATTTTTTAATTTTTAGATTTTTCGAAATTTTAAATTTTAAATTTTTTTGAAGTTTCGATTTTACTATTAAGTATTTGATTTTTAAAATTTTTGTTTTTCGATTATTCAATTTTTCGGTTTTTAAAGTTTTCAGTTCAGATTTTTCGATTTTTGATCATTTTGGGTTTCCAAGTTTTCGAATTTTCAGTTTTCCGATTGTTTCATTTTTCAATTTTTCAATTCATCGATTTGTTTTAAATTCAATGTTTCAGTTTTTAATTTGTTGATTTTGGGTTATTTCGATTTTCGACTTCTCGACTTTTCGATTTCTCCATCTTTTCATGTTTGGATTTCTCGATATTTGTTTTTCAATTTTTCGAGGTTTCGATTGTTCAATTTTTCGACATTCTAATTTTAGGACTTCTCAATGTCTGCATGTTTCAATTTTTCGATTCAATGTTTGGATTTTCCAATTTTTTAATTTGTCAGTTTTTAGATTTCTTGACATCTTTCGACTTTTGAATTTTTAAAATTTTTCGAATTCGGTTTTTCGATTTCTTGATTTCAATTTTGGGAATTTTCCAATTTTCAATTTTTTGAGGTTTCGATTTTTCAGTTTTTCTACATTTCAATTTTGGGAATTTTCCAATTTCAGGATTTTTCAATTTTCCGATATTTTACTTTTCCAGTTCTTTTGATGGTTGCTCGACCTTTCGATTTTTCGATTTTTTCAGTTTTTCGATTAACCAATTTTTCGATATTCCAATTTTAGGACTTTTAAATGTCTGGATGTTTCAATTTTCTGATTCAATGTTTAGATTCTTCAATTTTTCGATTTCTTGATTTTTTAATATTTCAATTTTTGGATTTCTTGACATCTCGACAATCTTTCGACTTTTCGATTTTTCGATTTTTTAAATTTTTTGACTTCGATTTTTCGATTTCTCGATTTCAATTTTGTGAATTTTTCACTGTCAGGATTTTTCAATTTTCCGATATTTTACTGTTTCAGTTTTTTGATGTTTGCTCGAGCTTTCGATTTTTCGATTTTCCATTTTTTCGAGGTTTCGATTTTTCAATTTTTCGGTATTTCGGTTTTAGGACTTCTCAATTTCTGGATGTTCCAATTCTTGACATCTCGATAATCTTTCGACTTTTCAATTTCTCGATTTTTTTAGTTCTCGTTTCATTTCAATTTTGGGAATTTTCCAATTTCAGAATTTTTCAATTTTCCCGATATTTTACTTTTTCAGGCTTTTGATGTTTGCTCGAGCTTTGGATTTTTCGACTTTTCGGATTTCGATTTTTCGTTTCGACCAATTTTTTTAAGTACTGTAACAATAAAAAATGTGGTTCGTATAAAAGCAACATTGTTAGCACTAATTATTAAAACACAAAGAAACAAAACCGAAGGATTTGATAATCGAGCAGTTTAAAGGTGTTTTTTCTATTAATATTTAAAATTAAAATAATTTTATAAAAAAAGCCAAGGTTATTATTACTTTCAGTAGTTTTGTTGTGTATTGTACGTTAATAATTTTTATTTTTGTAGGCACATCTCGCCTTATATTGTTTCGCCAATAGTCAGGTTAGTACTGCCCTAAAATTATTGTACAGGGCTAGATATCTCGCAGTACTCGTATGTGGCGAAAATCACCCAGAAGTTGCCTTGCTTGATGTAAGAAACTTATTTAACTATTGAACACTCCAACTAACGACAATAAATTTCTAGAGCAATATCAGTTTAATTCTACACGCAGTAGGCGAATATGAACTTTCGTTGCGTTTCTTAGAAAAGGCCTTAGCATTAAATATCAAATATTACGGGGCCAAATCTCTCAAAGTTGCCGTGACTTACCACCTAGTGGCCAGGACCCAGAGTTGTATGGGTAACTTCCGGTCGGCACTAACCAATGAAAAGGAAGCTTACGCCATCTATAAGCAGCAAGTGAGTAGAATTAAAAAAAAAAATAATGACTCGAAATTAATAAATAATTTATTCAGCTTGGAGAAAACCACGAAAAAACTAAAGAATCATCAGAGTGTCTCAAACACCTAACACAACAAGCCGTCGTTCTCCAGAAAAAAATGAACGAGATCTACACAGGTAAAAATGGAGCCTCACTGCCACCAATCCAAATCCAGCCGCCTTCCATGGGTTCAGTCTTAGACATGTTAAACGTTATAAACGGAATTTTGTTCGTTCAGATCAGGTATTAAACATTGTGTGCGATTTCGAATTTGTTGTTAACCAAGCGCTTGCAGTCAAGAAGACATCGAGAACTTCAAAGCGGAGATCGAAAAGAGACAACTGACCGAAGAGAACGAAGTCGAAGAAGAAAAACCCGAAGAAAAAACGAAAGAAATAAAAGCAGAAGCTGCGGAAAAATAGTAGAATTTGTTTTAGTTGTAATGAAAAAGATAGGCGTCTCGTTAGTACATTTCGTAGTGGTTCTTGTGCGTGCATTTTCCTACAAGTCAGTAACATGCATTTTTATCGCTCAACGTAATACTAGTCAAAAAGTATGCAACTGCCTTTTATTATATTAAACGTTGTTAAAAGTGTACGTTTTATTAAAGTGATCTGGTGTTGTGGATTTTTTCCAAGTACTGCTGCTGTTATTGTTGTTGTAAGTTGAATATGAGCTGTTGTTTTGTGATATGCAATGAATATCTATTTAATCGTAGTAAACTTGTGATTAACACTGCAAGTATAAATATGCATGTTGCCTGAACGAAGGGGAAGTTATTTTTTATTGTATCCTAATTTGAGTGCGCCAACTTTAGTAAGGTGCAGTTTTCTATGATAGGTCAGATTTTTTTTGTAATCTAAATTTTGTTAAAATAAATACAGTTGATTACAGAGAACCTCTTCGCCGGAGTTGTGTTTGTAGAGTTGTCAACGTTAAGGGGGGTGTGTATTTGTTCCTGTGTAAACCTCCGTCTTCCATCCCCGATCCTGTATCACTTTTCTAAACGGCGAACAATAAGGTTAGCATTGTTAATTTATCACTTGAAGATATTTTTCTTTTCATATTTTAAAAGTATACACGTTCTTCTTCAGGTTATATCTCACTTGCTGAGAAGATGAAGAATGTGAAAGATGGATGAAGAAATCGTCAAAGACTCAAAAATTACGACAATTTTGCAAATAAACTTGGTTAGAACCCGGTTTATAGTATTAAAATACCGGGTGTATATTAGTACAAAGTAAAAGTCAAGGACGTCTAGGTTGTGATCCAAAACTAAAATTGTTCTTAGATGTACATGGTGAGTTTCTTGAGGCGACGAAACGTTGATTCATTTGTGCGGAGTTTGGGGCTCCTGGTTGTGGCTGTTCTCCTACCCACGATGGTGTTTTTTACCTCAATTTCTATGACTCTGACATGAACGACAACTGAACAAGTGTTAAAGTTTCGAAAACTTCAAAATTCTTATTTGAGATTATATCAGATAATTTGTATGATGGAAACATTCATTAACAAAATATTTACAAAACAAAACTAGCAAAGATTTATAAAAACAAAAGATCTGGTATGAAGTAAACTTGTGCAGATCAAATATTACGTGAGGTTAGAAACTACAGAGCGTGAAAATTTACGTTTAGTTTAAATTATACAACAAAGAAAATTACTGAGGCTAAAGTTGGGAGATAGAAAACTGTGGGAGGTGAAAATTTGCAAAGCTAACAAAAGTATGAATAATAAGGTTAATATTTGCCACACTTTATTAACGACTCAAACAAAGAATTTATATGATGTTACATTATGCCATGATCCAAGTCACTGGTTACTTAAAACAATTTGTTTTGAGAGTTTATATCGTGAACTGTTTACCCCAAACAAAACACATGATAAATAAACACAAAATGCGTCCTGCGTAATTATCCAATATTGTGAGAAATAAAATGTCTCGGTGATGTGATGATGATAACGATGATAACTGTCTAAGGAGAGAAATATTTAATCCCCCCGTGAGTCTACGATATTATGACGGTGTTTCTACGGTCTTTTTCCACAGTGGGGCAACCTTAGGTTAATTTAACTGCCGTAAATAAAGTATTAGCAATTTTGTATGAAGAATTAAGAAGTTTTATAATGTAACACTGAAGCATTAGCATCCAGTATTTATCCAAATAAATGTAATATCTGTTAAATTGTGTTAGCACCAGTTAACGATTAACATCCTAACATGAACTGTGAATTTACAAACACTAAAACAAATTTACACATGTTAGCGTCGGTCGAAAATTCGCATGTTTCCGTTCGGAAAAAATAGCAGTGTTGGGGAAACTGGGCGTCGTCGTCGTTACAATTAATTGTCGTTAAACCGCTACCAAGCGGAACTACCAACTATCCAAAAAGCGCTAACGTGCACATGGTTGCCCATGTTTAACGATTTTTTTGATTGATTTTTTTCTCCAATTTAAATTTTTCAAATGTGATTTTGCGCCGCTGTTATTTTTTTTCAGTGCCAACTTTTGATTCAAATTCGGTCAAAAGGTGTACTGAAAAATTGAGTTTTCACCGAAATGGTCTAAAATTACAGAAAAAATTGTGGGATATGGGTCTCTACGAGCAAAGTCCAAAAACATAAGCTTGTCGTGGACCAACATTTTCGAAATGTTCGCATTCAAACAAACTCGAAAATTTAACTTCAAAATTGCCATATTTCATTTTGGCGATTTTGGCTGGGAAAATGGTAGCTATTTTTGAGGAGACGGTGCTGACTACAACTTCTGGACGTAGGCGAATTTGCCCAAAAATTTACAAAAGATAAATCCAAGAACATAACTTTTCCTGGATCGAAATAACCGAATGCAACCAAATTCACTTAAAAATTGTTGCCACATTTTATTTTGACAATTTTGGAAAAAATGGTGGTTATTTGGAAGAAATAAAATTGAAGACAAGGTCTCGATATATACATCAACCAAAGGACGTCTTTTAGAAATTTTAGAAGGTGCTTGGGAGAAGGTAAAAAATGGTATTTTCATTGAAAAAGTAAGGGTGAATTTGCCCAAAAATCTACAAAAAACAGAATCTAAAAACAACTTCTCCTGGACAAACAGTTTCAAAGTTTTTGGATTCAACCAAATTCAAAAATTTAAATCAACCTAAAATTTTTTGCTATATTGTCCAAAACTACGAAAAAGCAGAATCCAAAAACATAACTCTTCTTGGACCAACATTTTCGAAATATTCGCATTCAACCAAATTCAAAAATTCAAATTACCCTAAAAGTTATTGCCGTATTTCATTTTGGCGATTTTGGAAAAATGGTAGCTATTTTCGAAGCAATAGAGCTGAAAACAACTTCTCCATGGGAGATCAACAAAAGGACGCCTTTTAGTAGAATAATTTTCGAAGGTGCTCGGGAGAAAGTCACAAATTCATTGAAATAATGAACTTTTGGCGAATTTTTCCAAAAATCTACAAAAAAATTCTACATAGGATATAGATCTCGACGAGCAAAATCCAAAAATAGACTTGCCTTGGATCAACATTTTTGAAATATTTGAATCAAATTCGGAAAATTAAATTAACTTCAAAATTGCCATATTCATTTTGGCAATTCTGGAAAAATGGCAGCTATTTTCGAAGAAGTGGAGGTGAAAACAATTTTTGGATGTCGAGATCAACAAAAAAATTTTTGAAAGTGTTTTTCGGGAGAATGTCACAAATTTCATATTCATTGAAAAAATGAGCTTTTGCCGAATTTGCCCAAAAATCTACAAAAAAATTAAAATCCCAAAACAAAACTTTTCCTAGACCAACAATTTCGAAAAATATTAGAATTCAACCAAATTCAGAAATTTAAATTATAAATAATTAATAAATGAAAAATTATTGGCATATTTCATTTTGGTGATTTTGGAAAAATGGTAGCTATTTTCGAAAAAATAGAACTGAAAACAACTTCTCGATGTCGAGATCAATAAAAGGATGTCTTTTAGAAATTTTAGAAATTGTTTGGGAGAAGGTAAAAAATTTCATATTCATTGAAAGTGAGCTTTGGGTGAAAATGCCCAAAAATCTACAAAAAGCAAAATCTAAAAACAACTTTTCTTGGACTAATACATATTTTCGAAAAATTGAAATTAACCAAATTCAAAAATTTTAATGAACTTAAAAATTATTGTCATACTTCATTTTGGCGATTTTGGAAAAATGGTAGCTATTTTCGAAGAAATAGAGATAGAGCTGAAAACAACTTCTAGGTGTATAAGACATCAATCAATCGCCTTTTAGTAGAATAATTTTCGAAGGTGTTTGGGAGAGAAGCTCAAAAATTCATTGAAATAATGAGCTTTTGGCGAATTTTCCCAAAAATCTACAAAAAATTCTACATAGGACGTAGATCTCGACGAGCAAAATCCAAAAACATGACTTGCCTTGGATCAACATTTTTGAAATATATATTTGAATTCAATTAAACTCAAAAATTGCCACATTCATTTTGGCAATTCTGGAAAAATGGCAGCTATTTTCGAAGAAGTGGAGGTGAAAACAATTTTTGGATGTCGAGATCAACAAAAAAATGTTCGAAAGTGTTTTTTTCGGTAGAATGTCACAAATTTGATATTCATTGAAAATTTGATTTTTTGCCGAATTTGCCCAAAAATCTACAAAAAATTAAAATTCCAAAACAAAACTTTTCCTAGACCAACAATTTCGAAATATTAGAATTAAACCAAATTCAGAAATTTAAATTAAAAATATTAATAAATGAAAAATTATTGGCATAATTCATTTTGGTGATTTTGGAAAAATGGTAGCTATTTTCGAAAAAATAGAACTGAAAACAACTTCTCGATGTCGAGATCAATAAAAGGATGTATTTTAGAAATTTTAGAAATTGTTTAATTCAATGAAATAATGAACTTTGTTGGCGAATTTTCCTAAAAATCTACAAAAAATTCTGGGATATAGATCTCGACGAGCAAAATCCAAAAACATGACTTGGATAAACATTTTCGAAATATTCTAATTCACTCAAATTCGAAAATTTAAATTAACTTAAAAATTGCAAGATTTCATTTTGACAATTCCGATAGTTCTGTTCGAAAAAGTGGAGCAGAACACAGTTTCTGGATGTCCAGATCAACACTATGTAGCAATTTTCGAAAGTGCTCGAGAGTATGTCAAATATTTCATATTCATTGAAAAAGTGAGCTTTGGATGATTTGCCTAAAATCTACAAAAAGCAGAATCTAAACAACTTTTTTTGGATCAAGATTTTCGAAATATTCGAATTCAACCAAATTCAGAAATTTAAATTAAATGAAAAATTATTGCCATATTTTATTTAGGCCATTTTGGAAAAATGGTACCTATTTTCGAAGAAATAGAGCTGAAAAAAAGAGGACGTTTTTTGATAAGTAATTTTCGAAGGTGCTCGGAAGAAGGTCAAAACTTTCATATTCATTGAAAAATATGAGCTTTTGGCGAAGTTGTCCAAAACTACAAAAACTTCTGAGATATGGATCTCGAGACCAGAACACAAAAATATAACTTGTCCTGGACCAAGATTTTCGAAATATTCGAAAATTTAAATTATCCCTAAAAATTACCATATTTTATTTTGGCGATTCTGGAAAAATGATTTCGAGAAACTGGAGCTCAAAACAACTTTTGGATGTCGAGATCAACAATACAAGGTCTTTTAATAATTTTCGAAGGTACTCAGAAGAAGGTAAAAAATTTCATATTCATTGAAAAAGTGAGCTTTTGGGGGATTTGTCCAAAAATCTAGAAAAAAGCAGAATCCAAAAACATAACTTTTCTTGGACCAACCAACCATTTTCGAAATATTCGCGTTCAACCAAATTCAAAGATTCCAATTAACCTAAAAATTATTGCCGTATTTCATTTTGGCGATTTTGGAAAAATGATAGCTATTTTCGAAGCTGAAAACAACTTCTGGGTGTCGAGATCAACAAAAGGAAGTCTCTTAGTAATTTTTGGAAGGTGCTAGGGAGAAGGTCAAAAATTCACTGAAAAAGTGAGCTTTTGACAAATTTTCCCAACAATCTACAAAAAATTCTAGGATATAGATCTCAATCAGCAGAATCCAAAAACATAACTTGTATTGAATCAACATTTTCGGAAATTCGAATTTACTCAAACTCGAAAATTGAATTTAATCTAAAAATTGCCATATTTAATTTTAGCAATTTTCGAGAAAATGGAGCTCAAAACAACTTTTGGATGTCGAGATTAACAATACAAGGTCTTTTAAAAATTTTCGAAGGTACTCAGAAGAAGGTCAAAAATTTCATATTCATTGAAAAAGTGAACTTTTAGGGAATTGGCCCAAAAATCTACAAAAAGCGGAATCCAAAAACATAACTTTTTTGGACCAACACTTTCGGAATATTCGCATTCAACCAAATTCAAAAATTCAAATTACCCCAAAAGTTATTGCCGTATTTCATTTTGGCGATTTTGGAAAAATGGTAGCTATTTTCGAAGAAATAGAGCTGAAAACAAATTCTGGATGTCGAGATCAACAAACGAAAGTCTCTTAGTAATTTTTGGAAGGTGCTAGGGAGAAGGTCAAAAATTCACTGAAAAAGTGAGCTTTTGACAAATTTTCCCAACAATCTATAAAAAATTCTAGGATATAGACCTCAACCAGCAGAATCCAAAAACATAATGTGTATTGGATCAACATTTTCGGAAATTCGAAGTTACTCAAACTCGAAAATTGAATTTAATCTAAAAATTGTCATATTTGATTTTTGCAATTTTCGAGGAACTGGAGCTCAAAACAACTTTTGGATGTCGAGATCAACAATACAAGGTCTTTTAATAATTTTCGAAGGTATTCGGAAGAAAGAAGGTCAAAAATTTCATATTCATTGAAAAAGTGAGCTTTTGGGGAATTTGCCCAAAAATCTACAAAAAAGCAGAATCCAAAAACATAACTTTTCTAGGACCAACATTTTCGAAAAATGGTAATTTCGATTTTTAAAATTTTTGCTTGATGTTTCGATTATTGAACATTTGATTTGTTAAATTTTAAATTATTCAATTTTTAGTTTTTAATTTGTTGATTCCATGCGATTTCGATTTTCGACGTTTCGTTTTCTCGATGTTTATTTTTGAATTTTTCGATGCTTCGATTTCCCGGTTTTTTGGCTTTTCGATTTTTCGATTTTCCAATTTTTCCAGTTTCGATTAACTAATTCAGTTTTAAGACTTCTCAATTTCTGGATGTTTCAATTTTTCAATTCAATGTTTAGATTTTTCGGTTTTTTATATTATACATTTTTCGATATATTGTTTTTTAATTTTTCAGTTTTTGATTTTATGATTTTTTTATTTTTTCATGTATGAATTTTTCGATTTTAAAAATAACAGAACTGGGAAATTTTTCAAATTTTAATTGTACGATTTTTTTGATGTTTCATTTTTTCGATTTTGTTATTCTTCAACTTTATTTCAATTTTTTGATTTCTTGGTTTCCGATTTTTAAAATTGACTACGATTTTTCTTTTTCTCAATTTTCGAAGTTTCGACTTCTCGAATTTTCTATTTTTTTTTTTCAATTTTTCCCTTGCTCAGTTTTTCGTTATTTGAAGTTTGGAATTGTTTGATTTATTTTCTTCAATTGTTCAATTTTTCTTCAATTTTTCACCTTATCGCTTTATTTACTTTATTATTAATTTTTCGATTTTTTGATGTTTCGATTTCTGGATTTTTTTATTTGTCAACATTTAGTTTTTCTATTTTAAATTTTAGATTTTTCGATTTCTGCATTTTTTTGTTTTCAATTTTTCGAAATTTTAAATTTTAGATTTTTTATTTATTAGAAGTTTCGATTTCTCAGCCTTTCAATAGATTTTTAGATTTTACCATTTTTTGATTTTTCGATTCTTCAATGTTTCGATTTTTTAAATTCTTGCTTGATTTTTCGATTTGAAAATTTCAATTTGAGGAGTTTTAAATTTTCCGATATTTTATTTTTTCAGTTTTTAAATGTTTGCTCGAGCTTTCGATTTCTCGATTTTCCAGTTTTTCGAGGTTTCGATGTTTCAATTTTTCGATTAACCAATTAACAATACAAGGTTTTTTAATAATTTTCGAAGGTACTCAGAAGAAAGAAGGTCAAAAATTTCATATTCATTGAAAAAGTGAGCTTTTGGGGAATTGGCACAAAAATCTACAAAAAGCGGAATCCAAAAATATAACTTTTTTTGGACCAACATTTTCGAAATATTCGCGTTCAACCAAATTCAAAAATTCCAATTGACCTAAAAGTTATTGCCGTATTTCATTTTGGCGATTTTGAAAAAATGGTAGCTATTTTCGAAGAAATAGAGCTGAAAACAACTTCTCGATGTCGAGATCAACAAAAGAGGTTTTTTGGTATGTAATTTTCGAAGGTGCTCGGAAGAAGGTCAGAAATTTCATATTTATTGAAAAAATGAGCTTTTGGCGAAGTTTCCTAAAACTACAAAAAAAAATGTGAGATATATCTCTGGAGACTCTGGAGAAACAAAACTTGTCCTGGACCAGGATTTTCGAAATATTTGAATTTAATCAAATTTGAAAATTTAAATTACCTAAAAATTGCTATTTATGAAAAAGTTATGTAAAAATCTACAAAAAAATCAAGATCTCGGCGTGCTGATTGCAAAATAAACAGCGGATGGTTGGGGCTGGTACTTGATAGGATAAAACTGATTTTGGCATATGACATATCTTCTAAGAAAATAGAGGGCGGGTGGGCGGGGCTAGTACCGGCCAAGATAACACTAATTTTTGGCAAATGACGTACTTTATAAGAAAAATGGGGGCGGGTGGATGGTCCTAGTACTTGCTAAGATAAGACTGAAGAATATTAAAGGTGGTCGTTAGAATGAAGAGGGGGTGGGTGGGCGGGGCTACGTCTTGCCTATAAGATTGTAGAAAAAAATTATAAAATTGGAACTGAATTCTATTTTGACAAGCGGTAGAATCTAAGATTTAAAACAAAATCAAAAGTGTCCCGAAGCAAGATTTTAGAAATATTTGGTTTGAAATTCAATTTTTTTTTAAATCCCAAAAATAGCCACAATTCGTTGGGCAATTCTGGAAAAATGGTAAAAGTTTACGAAGAAATGAGGCCGAAAGTAACTTATTTGCAAAAAAATCTTTTTAGATAAATTTTGTAAGATTTGTCCAAAAAGGGTCGATATTTTTATATAGAATTGAATTGAGTTTTTACAAATTTATTTGCACCAATGCGTTGTTTAATTATTATCAGTTTAAATATTTCATAAAAAAATGTATGCGCAAACCGCGTTTATTAATCCAGTAATTCCAGTCACCGTCTAGCTTTGACGTTTTTCTTAATTCTGAAGTACACGTGGATGTTCCTCGCTCCAGTCATAAAGCTCTTAATTTGATCGAACGTCATAACGACACATTTTCCGGATTCGTAAATTTCATCTGCATCCAGAGCGTCTGTATAACACAATTCGGTTACGGCGAATTTCCGGACCTCGTCGCTGATTACGAAGTCGTAGCAGTAGGTCAGGGCTTCGTCTTGGGGACCTACGTATTGGCACAGCCAGTAGGCGATTTTTTCTTTGCTGAGGAGGCGGTGCTTGAACCAGAAGAGCTGTTTGCGCTTTTGTATGAGCTCGATGTCGTAGGAGTCGCGGCCGAAAGTCATGCTCATGTCGATAATGTTCTGAACCTGAAGAAGAGACAATAAAAATGTTTGAAAGTTTCGAATTTTGCTGAAGTTTTAAATTAATCAATTGGGGCCGAGTTTTCTATAAATGTTAGACAATAAATATTAATTACTATTGATTACTAACAGCGAGACAATAAATTTACGGGTAGTTTGTAATATTTAGCCAGAATGTTTTCCCTAGAAATATATTGATATAACGAACGTTATTATGAAAACTACTGCTAGTAAAACATAATTATGACTATGATTATCATAAATGAGTAGAAATGTTTAATTTTCGAGTTAATAATTTGCTGTTCGTCGAAATCTAACATAATATTTGAATTAAACAAACGTAAACGTGGTGGTTGAAACATTCTATTTCAAGGTGATCGTATTAAAGCAACGGCCGTTAAATAAGTTGTGCAAACTTGTATTTAGATTAGTGCTGGCACAATAAATGCGGACGTTGATATATAAAGGCCATACACTTCAAAGACAACCAGCAGCAGTGCGTCCTCAAAAATTTAGATCATAATCTTTGTCTCTTTGTATGAATTAGTGGAAGAATTTTTAAAAGCTACTATTTCACACGAGCAAATTTAATTAACGCGTAAAAAAGCCACGATAACGCAGCAAAATAACAGTGCATAATTTATTTTTGCATGAAACACTAAGCACACCGAAAACATCAACTTTTGTCGATACACTTGTCACGCATCTACATTTATAAATCATTGCTTTTTGAACCGACCTTCATGTACGTCCTTTCCGGATGGATTCTCCTAAAATGGTTCATTACGTCTTCGCGATATCCTTTAAAACTACAGTTCCAGGCGGCAAATTTACGTCCTTCGCACTTAAACCACCGATATCGACACTCCTTCTCGTGAGCTTTTATTTCTTCCTCTTCAAGTTTTACTTTGCAGCCGCGGTATTTATATTTGCAGCTTTGAACACGAAGGTCGATTCTGCCATAACTTCGTGTTGTTCCTTCCAGTGCCCGAGGGGCTATTTGAATTAACTGCTTCTTGCTTCGGAGACGTAAAGATGAGCGTCTTATCTAGAAAAAACACTAAAATAAATATTGGAGCTGAGTGTTGACACGGCGTAAAGTTAGGGTAATAATTTGGTAATTTGAAGGGGTTGGTTTATTACTGCGTAATCTGGACAAGCAAGGGTTAAAGTTGCAGTAAGTACAGCTATTTTGGGGTTTATTGAATTTGATGCTGGTTTTTAAAGCGGTTTTTTTAGTGAATTGAGGTTTTTTTTTTGGATTTATTCGTGTGTGGTGGATAATAATAATTAAATATAGAGCATCAATTTGAAGTTGTTACAAAATTCATTTGGACCGTTTCAGGTTGCGTACGTTGTTTTTAATTCATTTTTACCTGCGAAATCATAAAAATGGGATCTAAAATTCTTCATTCCTTGTTTGACGAGTCGGTTGAATTATGATAACACATTAAAGTTTATTAGAACCTTCATTTTATTGTTATTAATCTTCAAACATATGGATTTATTGAGAAGGGGTTTATTGGGGTTATTATTTTTTAAATCCTCTCATTTGAATACACAATGATAACGAAATATTAAATTAAATAAATAAGTTGTGTACTACAACCAGGAAATTTGTGCTTCTTCGTTTAACCACCATCTAAATAATTAATTGGCGCCTCCTCAGCTTGAAATTTGACGTCACTTTAGGCCAACGTTCCCAAGCTATAAATATCCCCAAACCTGAAATATTGGAGAATAAGTTTCAGCGCACCTACCAACTCAAATAATCTCGTAAATAATGTAGTAAATTAAGAACTCACCTTTATAAATTAAATTTAGTTATTGAAAATCCATAGGCAAAGCGAGAAAAGTTTTGTTTTATCCCTCAATACTTAATAACTATGCGAATTAAAACGAATAGACTTGTTGTACTGTAATGAAACCTTGACGTAATTAAATTCCCAACTTTTGCAAAAAATATATTATATTCGCAATTTACGTTCAAAGTAAATGAGTTACGAAAAGATACGACAACTAAAGTGGGTTATATTTGATCGTTTTTTGGTGACTGAAATTTGTTCGGGTTGAAACTAGTGAATTTCATTGTCTACCTGTTTTTCGCTTGCTTGTAATGAACTCTGAGCTATGACAATACGGAATCCAGGTTTTTATTTTTAACCTAATTAGGTTTTTAATAATATATTTTTAATTAGTGTTCAAATTACAGCCACTTTGTAGAAGCAACCAGGTTTCAGAAGAAAAAATAAATAAAACCAGCGTCGGTTTAAATAAATAATAATATATAAATGACATCGCGAGATGAATTAAATTCAACAGCCGCGACTCTGTGTGATCAAAGGCTACTTTTTATGTTGACTCTGGTATCTCAAGTGAGTCTCAAGCTTGCGTCAACATTACAGAAAAATTCCAGATATTAATTACGAGATTTGGGAGATGTAAATAAAATACGTTATGTATTTTATCACGTGTCTGAATCACCGTTTTTTTGTATATAATTTCATTGAGAAAAATTGATTTCACAGATTTTTTGTGGTGATTATTAAATTCATTCGCTTCGTGTGTTCGATAATGTAAATGTTATTATCTGATCTAAAAGTTACGGGCAAATCGATGCTTATTTTATTGGCGCGACCGCGGTTTTCATTGATATTATGATTTTTTGGTGTTTTCATATTATGTGTATGTGTTTTTTATAGTTTGATGGGCTGATAATAATAACACGTGGGTGTTATTGGTAGATATGTCAGATTTATTGTTCTCTACTGTGTCTGAAATTGTATAGTTGTAAGTAATTGGGGACTTTTAAGCTGGTAATATATCTAAAATTTTATGATGGCATGTCTGATGTCAAATTGAAATTTTGGCCTAATTCAATAGTTGCCAACCATTTCTTTATTATCTTCGTTTTTATTTTCTGAGCGTAAGTCAGGGAAATATTGTAGAGTAATAAGGAATGTGGAACGACTGGTTTCGTTTTCATGGGTTCCTGAGAATGAAAAAATAGGTCCTCCGTTTCCAACTCTCTGTTTTTTGTCATCTGTCGTCTGTTAGACGGATAATCTCCGAAACTACTGTACTGATAATTGTCAAATTTTAGGAATATCGTGTAACTGGTAAAGCGCTAACTAAAATTTGTCCGATCAACAATTTAATGGCGTCACCTCAAAAGTTTGCGTGGTAAAAGCTATTTAAATTTTACAAAAGAACATACTCCTCCGTTTGTAGTTCATGAATCTACCTTGATTTTTTTACCTAGATATCCAAATTTTCACAAAAGAGTCAAAATTGTATAAAATTTTATGATGGTATGCATGATGTCATATGAAATTTTTGGTACTAATTCAGTAGCTGCCATCTTTTGATTCGTTTTTTAGGCTCATGTCAAAATTGACAACTGCATGCTAACACTATTGCCAATAATTCAGAACTGCCAACCCAAAAATCTTCTTCAATCATTAATAAAATTTACGATTAAATAAAAATTTTAAAGTGGCCCCGCCCACCCACCGTTTTTACTTTAAGAGCGTAAGCTATGGAAATATTGTAATAAGGAATGTGGAACGACTGCAGAGAATGAAAAAATAGCTGGTACAGCGCTAACTGAAATTAGTCTGAACAACAATTTGATGGCGTCACCTGCTGCCAAAATGTAAAATTTAAAGAAATCGAAAAATTGAAAACTAGAAATATCAAAGAACTGAAAAATTAAGAAATCGAAAAATCTAATATTTAAAATATTGAAAAATTAAAATATACAAAAGTTGAAAAATCGCGATCAAAACAACAAAAATCGAAAAAATGGAAAATTTAAAAATCTAAAATTTAAAAATCGACAAATCGAAAAATCGAAAAATTGTAAAACGGATACATGGAGAGAGAAATCGAGAAATCAAAAATTTGAGATGTCAAATAGGCCAAAATCGAAAAATTAATTAATCGACTAATCGAAATATCGAAAAATTGAAAAATCGAGAAACTGAACAATCAAAACATCCAAATCTCGATAAATCGAGAAATCAAAATTGAAAAATTAAAAATAAAAACCCGTGAAATTGCAAATCGAAAAATTGCAAAATCTCAAATTGAAACACCAAAAATTTAAGAATTTTAATGGTTATAGAAAAAATTGGTCGAAGTTTATTTCGGCAGCACTTTCTTTACCCCTGCAGTACAATAAATCATCTTCAGCTTTTTTGAAAAATTACAAATTTTGGTTTTGTGAAATGAAAAATTGAAAAAACAAAAAATTACAAAATTGGAACATTGAAAAATAGAAAAATTGCAAGAACAAAGAAAATATAAAACCGAAACGAAAAATTGCGAATCGGAACATTGAAGAATTGAAAAATTGAAAAATTTAAAACTGAAAACCCGTGAAATTGTAAATCGAAAAATAACAAAATTTAAAAATGAAAACTCGAAGAGATATTGTAAAATTGAAGAAATAAAATATGAAAAATTGAAAAATTGATTGCCAATCGAAAACTTGAAAAAATTGAAACTGAAAAAACAAGAAATTACAAAGTCGAAACATTGAAAAATGGAAACATCGAAAAACTGAAGAAAGGAAACATTGAAAGATCGAAAAATTAAAAAACTAAAAATTGACAATTCTTGAAATTGCAAATTGAAGAATTTTAATATATAAAAATGTATTTATTTATAATAACAATCAAAAAAATTTTAAAAATAGAAATTTTGGAAAATCGAAAAGGCGAAATCCGAAAAGGCGAAAAATCAAAAGATCAAGCAATCGAAATATCAAAAAATCGAAGAATTAAAATATCGAGAAATTGAAAAAACCAGAAATAGGAAAATCGAGGAATCTATAAATCGAAAAGTCGAAAAATTTTAAAACTCGGAAAACCAAGATTTCAAGAAATCGAAATATTAAAAAATCGTAAAATCGAAAAATTGAAAAATTAAAAAATGTAAAATTTAAAAAAATCGAAAAATTAAAAACTAGAAATATCAAAAAACTGAAAAATCGAGGAATCGAAAAATCTAAAATTTAAAATATTGAAAAGTTAAAATATACAAAAGTTGAAAAATCGCGATCAAGACAACAAAAATCGAAAAAATGAAAAATTTAAAAATCTAAAATTTAAAAATCGACAAATCGAAAAATCGTAGAATTCTAAAACTGATACATGGAGAAATCGAGAAATCAAAAATTTGAGATGTCAAATAGGCCAAAATCGAAAATTAATTAATCGACTAATCGAAATATCGAAAAATTGAAAAATCGAGAAACTAAACAATCGAAACATCGAAACACCCAAATCTCGATAAATCGAGAAATCAAAAAATTGAAAAATGAAAAATTGAAAACCCGTGAAACTCTAAATCCAAAAATTGCAAAATCTCAAATTGAAACACCAAAAATTTAAGAATTATGGTTATAGAAAAAATTGGTGGAAGGTTATGTCGACAGCACTTTCCTCATCCCTGCAATAGAATAAATAAACCATCTCCAGCTTTTTTGAAAAATTACAAAATTTGGTTTTGTGAAATGAAAAATAAAAAAAATAAAAAAATATAAAATTGGAATATTGAAAAATAAAAAAATTGTAAGAACAAAGAAAATAAAAACCGAAACGAAAAATTGCAAATCGGAAAATTGAAGAATTGAAAAATTGAAAAAACCTAAAAATGAAAAACCGAAACGAAAAACTGCATATCGAAAAACTGAAGAAACGAACAATTGTAAAGATTAAAATTGAAAAAACGTGTTGAAAAAAATTTTTCATTTCTATTACAATAGAACTGAAAAATTTCAGAGACATGGAATAATCGAAAAATTGAATCATCGGAATATCGACAAATTGAGAAACCAAAAAAAAATTTAAATAGAAATTTTGAAAAATCGAAAAGTCGAAAAATTGAAAGATCAGGCAATCGAAATATCAAAAAATCGAAGAATTAAAATATAGAGAAATTGAAAAAAACAGAAATGGGAAAATTTCCAAAACTGAAATGTTGAAAAATTGAGAAATCGGAAACTTGAAAAACCGAGGAATCTATAAATCGAAGTCAAAAATTTTAAAACTCGGAAAACCAAGATGTCAAGAAATCGAAATATTAAAAAATCGTAAAATCGAAAAATTGAAAAATCGAAAACTGTACAATTTAAAAAAATCTAAAATTAAAAACTAGAAATATCAAAGAACTGAAAAATCGAGAAATCGAAACAACAAAAATCGAAAAATCGAAAAATTCAAAAACTGATAAACCGAGAAATTAATAAATCGAAAATATGAGAAGTCGAAAAAAAATTAAGAATTGGTTATAATAGAAAAAATTGGTCGAAGTTTATCTCCAGCTTTTTCGAAAAATTACAAAATTTGGTTTTGTAAAATGGGGATTCGTACACCTCAAGCATAGGAGTATATTATTGCATAATATTTAAATCATTTTAAAATAAAATCATTTGAGATGACGTCATTAAAATATTGGTGGGGATGATTAGTCAAATTTTGGTTAGCGTTTTACCATCTATATGATATCCCTAATATACGTACAAAATTGAACAAAAATCGGTCCGGTAGTTTCGACGATTATTTATCTGTCAAATAAAAATTCGACAGACAAACAGGTAGACAGACGTAAACGGGACACTTACTGTTTCATACTCTATCGGTTCCTAGCCTATGCTCGGTAAGTAAAAATCTATTTACTGCGACTTCGAATAATCTACGTGATAGGTGTACTTAGTTAAATCAAAACTGTTTTGATTAATAACCCCGTTATTTGAAAGGAAATACAGTTCTCAGTTATTTATTTATTTTTTTGGTTAAAAACACCGACCAGTTCTGAAAACAATTATATGTTATTTGAAAGGAGCACACAATGTTGGCTTAACTTCTAATTAGGTACTCAAAGAATCGATTACTTGGTTACGCCGATACTGATTGGGGCGGATGTCTTGTAGATAGAATTCTACACCGGTTACGTGTTTATCCTTGGTGTAGGTACGATTCTTGAGAATTAAGGAAACAAAAAATCGGTTGCTAAATAAGTAACTGGACCCAACGTTCGAAAAAACTTGGTTATTTGAACCATTTCCTACAACATGTCGTTTAATCGACTAATACACTGGCATAAGTCAGAGAATGAATTCGTGCTCAAGTTTTCGAATACGAGCCTCTGCAATCAAAATATTACATTACATACACACAGGAGATGCCCGCACATTTTTTTCCAACCAGTAATTTTATTGTGTTCTCACGAAAGTGATGAAAGTGATAAAGTTTATCAGTTAGTACTTTAACTAAGGTTAATAAACAATTTTAATAATAAATGGTGTCCTCCAGAGTAAACCAAACTGTATTGTATATACAAACGTAAGTCAATATGTACATTTCAAATGTATCGAGAAATCGAGAATCAACATTTCTCCGTTTATCTATTTAGACAAGCTTCTGTAAAACGCTGAATATCTCGATCTTTTGCTTTTTTCAGTTTCTAAAGCACGCCATTTTTCTTTCGCAAAAAATTTACCCGAAGGTACGTAGACACTTAACTACAATGGTAGTTTTTAAATCTTTCATACGTCGGACTGCTGTTAAATTTAACTTTGCTTCAAGCCACCCCACTTATCTCATTAATTATTCTTGAAATATACTTTCACCGAGCGAAAGTTTCATCGACTTGAAATTTTATTAGGAAAATGTGTCCAAATTACATTGAAAACTTATTTTATTGTTGTTATTTTATGTAGATTACCTAATTATCCACCACTGCCGCACCTTTATTCCACCAGGAAGGGGAATCTAGGGAGAGATGTCATTTGCTTTTATAATTTCGTGTTTTGCGGTTGTTCAGATTTAATAAGGACGAGTTTGAAGCGACTGAAACTCTGCAGTTAATTTACAGATTAAACTGTGTCTACTGCAATAATACACCGCTGCTATTTAACTAAATTCGGCCGCGATTCCAAGAGATAAAAATTACTGAAATAATTGACTTTCAATTATTGGCGAAATTCTGAATTCCCAATGAAAACACCATCCAAATGAAATAAAAATAGAAGTATTTACCTCTGGCATTTTGAATGCGTGATGTGAAGCACTCATTTCCACGCACAATACTCACATTCTTACACATTTCAGCTTCTGTTAAAGATAACGCCTCCTTTCAAAACCTTGACGTTCAAATGGGCCGCAGAACCCCATTCCATGCTAGATTTGTTACAAATAGGCCTGAATTTAAACTGCAGTTGCATATTAGATGGGTAATTGTTGGAATTACCGCCGATAAATAACACGTTCTCCAATTAAACTGTCATGGAACGAGGATAATGCAAATTTTAAAGAAAATTTCGCGTGGGTGGGCTTCTTGAGTGCCGCAAAAGATAAACTAATTTAGCCGATTGACTGTGGTTGTTTTTTGCTAGATTGCAAAGGTTCAATTAGGTGAATTTTGCTTTAACGTTGAAAAATGAATCGGAGGGGTGAATTCAATTATGGGTAAAAAGAATGCTTTATGACTGTAGGCAGTGTGTGACATTAAAAGAGTAAAGGCTCGGTTTTTATTCCATAAACAGTGAAAGTTTCCGACAAATGACATTTTTAAACAGTTCGGAGAGTGTAAAATTTTAATTCAGGAGAGAGCAAAAATTGAAAGCAAACACAGACGTTAGGAAAATTGTACTTTAATTTTTTTGACATTTTTTTGAGTGAATGTGAATGCTTTTTACTTGACAAGCAAGCTAAGGAAGTATTGTAATCGGCTTCATCGGGCGACTCCCTACTCTTGTGTTTTCTCGACCTTTCATGATCCCTAGAGTACGAAGAAATAGGTTTCCGTCTGTCTGTTTACCGTCTATCTGGATTTTTTTAGACAGATAATATTTGAAACACTGGCCCAATTGTTGTCAAATTTTGTAGAAGGACTATCACGTAGATGGTAAAATCCCAACTAAAAATTGGCTAATCATCCCCACCAATAATTTGATGATAAATTTGTTTTTATTTTTATAAAATAAGATACTCCTGCATTGGTGGTGTATGAATCCGTGTTGAGTTTTCAACTTCTCGCTTTTAGATTTTTCGGGTTTTCAATTTTTGAATTTTAAAATTTTTGCCTTTTCGACTTTTTAATTTTTCGGTTATAAATTTTTCGATTTTTCAATTTTTCGTTTTTTTTAATGTAAATTTTTCAATTTTTCGTTTCGACTTTTTGATTTCTCGATATTTTGATGTTTCTATTTTTCGATGTTTCAATTTTTCAGTTCGATTTCTCGATTTTTCAGTTTTTCGAATGTTCGATTTCTTAGTTTTTCAACATTCAAGTTTTGGAATTTTTTATTACTTTTAATTTTTCAGTTCTCCGAATTTTAAAATTTTTCAGTTTTTTGAATTTTAAATCCTACTTTTTTCGATTTTTTAATTTTCCGATATTTGTCTTTGCGGATTTTTCAATTTGTTGATTCTTCAATTTCTGTTTTCTTTTAATTTTCGATTTCTCGTTTTTGTTATTTTTCAGTTTTGCAATATTTCGATATTTCAGTTTTACGATTTTTAAATTTTTTGGTTTTTAAATTTTTCGGTTTTTCAATTTCTGAGGTTTCTAAATTTTCAGTTTCCCAATTTCTCGATTAATAAGTCAATTTTTTGGTTTTTCAATTTTTGGCGTTTCTAAATTTTCGGTTTCTCCATTTCTGGATTAATCGATTTTTCGATATTTCGACTTTCCAATTTCTCAGGTTTTCGGTATTTCAGTTTTGGGATTTTTCAAATGTTCGACTTTTCGATTTTTTAATTTTTTACTTTTTAAAATTTAAAATTTATTAATTGTTTCGATATTTTAATTTTTCAGTTTTTTAGATTTGTATTTTTCGATTTATCAGTTCGATTTTTCCAATTGTTTGATATTACAATTTTTTGTTTTTTCATTTTCCTTAATTTTTCAATGTTTGGGTTTCAAAAGCTTTCGTTTTTTGCAACTTTTTCTATTTTTCAGTTTCTAAATTTTTAATTTTTCGATGTTTTAATTTCTATTTTTCATTTTCCCCATTTTTTAATTTTCATTTTCTTGACTCTATCATAATTTTTCGTTTTTTCATTTCCCTTGTTTTTTCAACGTTTCTTTCAATTTTATATCGAGAAAACGAAACGTTTAAAATCTAAAACATTAAAAAATTAAATATCGAAAAATAGAAAATACGAGAAATCTAAACATCAAGAAATCGAAAAAATGAAAAATTAAAAATGTAAAATTTAAAAATCGAATTGAAAAATCGAACAATCGAGAAAATGAAACTCCAGAATTTAAAAAATTGAAGAATCGGATAATTGAAAAATAGAAATATTGAAAAATCTAAAAGCCGAAAAGTAAAAAATCGAAAAAACGAGAAATCGAAACGTCGAAAAATTTAAAAACTGAAAAATCAAAAAATCGAGAAATCGATATGTCGAGACGTTGAAAAATTGAAAAATCGAAAAAATTGAGAGATTGAAGTAGACTAAAATCGAAAAATCGAAAAGTTTAAAATAGAATAATTGAAAAATTTAAAATTAAAAAATCAATTAATCGAAAAATCGAAAAATTGGAAAATTAAGAAATTGAATAGTCAATTGAAAAATCGAAAAATTTAAAATTTAAGAAATCCATAAAACGAAAAATCTAAAAACTTAAAAACCGAAAAATTTTAAAAAAGAAAGTGAAAAACAAAAACTTTTAATTTTCATTTTCTTGACTCTATATCATAATTTTTCGTTTATTCATTTCCCTTATTTTTTCAACGTTTTTTTCATTTTTATAATTTTTCAGTTATTCAATTCTTTAAATTTTCAGTCTCTGATGTCTCGATTTTTAATTTTTTTAATTTTTCAATTTTGCAGTTTTTGCATTTCTCAACTATCCGATTGCCTTAATTTGCAACATTTCGATTTTACAATGTTTCGTTTTCTCGATTTTGCAGTTTTTCGATTTTTAAGTTTCTTCAATTTTTCAAGTTCTTGATTTCTAATTTTTAGATTTTTCAAAGTTTTCATTTTATATTTTTTCGTTTTTTCATTTCTAATTTTTCAATTTTATAATTTTGCGATGTTTCAGTTTTTTTATTCAAAAAGTTGAAAAATCGAACAGCTGAAGAATCAAAAAATTAAAAATCATACAAAATAAAAACCGGCAAAAATTAAAAAATCGAAAAACTGAAAAAGTGGGAAATTATAAAATCGAAAAATTGCTAATCGAAGAACTGGGGAAACGAAAAATCAAAACATTGAAAAACTAAAAACCGAGAAATTTAAAAATCGAAAAAAAATGAATCGAAAAACTGAAAAGAAGAAAAAACAAACAAAAAATCGAAAAATGCAAAAATTAAACATTGAAAAATCGCATAAATGAAAAATTTTTAAAATCCAATAATTGAGAAATGGAAAAATTCTAAAATTGTAAAATTAAAAGGGTGAAAAAAAATTAAAATTTTAATTATTAGATCGATATTTATTATGAAAACTAGAAAAATTGATTAAACGAAAACTTAAAAATTTTAAAGTTGCAAATCGAAAAATTGAATAATCCAAAAATTCAAAATTTACATTGAAAAGAAGAAAAATTATAAATTCAGGACATTGAAAAACCGACAAATTGAAAAAATAACGAAAATAAAAACTAAACGAAAAATTGTAAAATCTAAAAATTGAAAAATCCAAAACTTGGAAAACCGGAAAACTAAAAAATTAAAAATGAAAACTCAAAAAGATGGATACAAATAAAAAATGAAAAATTGAAAAATTGCAAATCAAAAAATTAAAAAAACGAAAAATTAAAAAAATTAAACTGAAAAAACAAAAAATTATATAATCGGAACATTGAAAAATCGAGAAATTCAAAAAAAATAAAAGAAATAAAATCCGAAACGAAAAATTGCAGTTGGAAAAATTGAAGAATTGAAAAACTGAAAAATTGTAAATCAAAAAATTAAAACGAAAAATTAAAAAAAATGAAATCGAAGGAACAAAAAATTATAAATTCGGAACATTGAAAAATCGAAAATTTTGAAAATAAAGAAAATCCAACACGAAAAATTGAAGAACTGAAAAACTAGAAAATTGAAAAATTAAAAACTGGAAACTCGTGAAATTACAAATCCAAAAATTGCAAAGTCTAAAAATTGAAACATCCAAAAGTTGGAAAATCGGAAAACTGAAAAGTTTAAAAATGAAAACTCGAAGAGATACATATCGTAAAACTGAAGAAATAAAATAAATGAATTGAAAAATTGCAAATCAAAAATTGTAAAAATAAAGAAAATGAAAAACCGAAATCAAAAATTTCAAATCAAAAAATCGAAAAATTTTAGACTGAAAAAAGAAAAATTGCAAAAATCAGGGTTTTGAAAAACTGAAAAATTGAAAAAATAAAAAAAACGAAACGAAAAGCTGCGAATCGCCAAACTGAAGAGATGAAATATTGCAAAATCGAAAAATTGAATAATCCAAAAACTGAAAATTTACATTGAAAAGAAGAAAAATTTATAAATTCAGGACATTGAAAAACCGACAAATTGAAAAAATAAGGAAAATAAAAACTAAACGAAAAATTGTAAAATCTAAAAATTGAAAAATCCAAAAGTTGGAAAACCGAAAAACTGAAAAATTTAAAAATGAAAACTCAAAAAGATGTATACCGTCAAAGTGACCAAACAAAAAATGAAAAATTGAAAAATTGCAAATCAAAAAATTAAAAAAACAAAAAATTAAAAAAATTAAACTGAAAATACAAAAATTATAAAATCGGAACATTGAAAAATCGAAAAATTGATAAAATAAAAGAAATAAAATTCAAAACGAAAAATTGCAGTTGGAAAAATTGAAGAATTGAAAAACTGAAAAATTAAAAACTAATTACTAATCGAAAAATTGTGAAGTCTGAAAACTTTAACATCCAAAAGTTTGAAAATCGGAAAACTGAAAAGTTTAAAAATGAAAACTCGAAGAGATGAATATAGTAAAACTGAAGAAATAAAAATGAATAATTGAAAAATGCAAATCCGAATACTGAAGAAACGAAAAATTGACAAAATTGATAAATTGTAAAAATAAAGAAAATAAAAAACTGAAACAGAAATTGCAATTCGAAAATTTGCAGTTAATGAAAAATTAAAGATTCAGAAAATTGAAAAATTGAAAATTGAAGAAACAAAAAGAAAATAACTGAAAAATCGCAAATCGAAAAACTGAGAAAACAAAAAATTATAACATCGAATAAAAAAAA